CTGGCTGGCGTAGCTCAGTGGATTGAGCGCAGGCCTGCAAACCAAACAACCACAGTTCGATTCCCAGTCAGGGCACTGGGTTGCAGGCCAGTTCCCAGCAGGGGATGCACGAGAGGCAACCATACATTGATATTTCTTTCCCTCTTTCCTTCCCTTCCCCTCTGAAGATAAATAAATAAAATCTTAAAAAAAAAAAAAAAAAGACTGAATAGACATTTCTCCAAAGAAGACATGCAGATGGCCAACAGACACATGAAAGAATGCTCAACATCAAATTGCTCATTGTAAAAATAGTCATGGGGATGTAAAGTACAGGATAGGGAATAACACTGTAATAGCTACGTCTCGTGATGGATGGGTACCAGACCTATTGGGTGATTTACCTTGTCAGGTATATACATGTCTAATCACTGTTGTACACCTGAAACTAACATTGTATGTCTTCACTAACTGAAAAATAAATTAAAAAACCCCACAATGACATGTCACCTCACACCTGTGAGAATGTCTGTTATCAAAAGGACAACAAATAACAAGTGCTGGTGAGGATTTGGAGAAAAGGGAACCCTTGGGCACTGTTGGAAAGACTGCCAACTGGTGCAGCCACTGGAAAACACTATGGAGACTCCTCAGAAGATTAAACATGGAACTACCATACCACCCGGCAATTCCATTTCTCGGTCTACATCCAAAGGCATTGAAATCAGATTTTGAAGAGATATCTGCATGTATATGTTCAGTGCATCATTATTCATAAAACATGTATCAATGGAATATTATTCAGCTACAAAAAAGAGGGAAAACTAACCACTGGCAACGACATGGATGGACCTTGAGGGCAGGCTGTGTGCCCATCGATAACCAATTCCGTGGCACCAGCCCTTGTTATTATGATGGCAAGATGCCCTCAGCAATTACTTCCTAGAAATGGAAACTGAAAAAAAGGTTTCTTACTTACAGGACCTGGAAATTACATGGCACATCTGGAGCCACAGATTTTGGGATGTATTGAGGTTAAGGGTTGGGGACTAGGATTTCGTGGTTTCACTCTTTATTAGTGAATTTAAAACACAGAGCAGGAATTTAACGCATGGGAAGAGGAAAAACAAGTGGCTCCAATGGTCAGTTACTAAAATCAACCAATATTTCTGAAACAAAGGACCCCAAGGTGGGGTGGCAGCCCCCAAGGGCACCTTGTCATGATATGCATGGCCTGGCTCTTCCTCTAGTCTTGGCAGGCAATGTGACTACTGGAGACTGCCAAGCGGGTGCCTTGGCAGTCAAAGCTTAAGTCAGGCACTTGCAACACAAAAAGAATAGCGAAACTGTCAGGGCTTACGCTACAGGGCCTTATGTTAAGTAAAGTAAGTCACTCAGAGCCCTGGCTGGTGTGGCTCAGTGGACTTGAGCGCTGGCCTGCAGAGTGCAAGGTTGCAGGTTTGATTCCCAGCCAGGGCACATGCCTGGGTTGGGGGTGTGCAAGAGGTAAGCAATGGATGTTTCTCTCCCTCCTCCCTCCCACATTGCTAAAAATAAATAAAATATTTAAAAAATAATATTCACATATGGAATCTAAAACATCCCCCAAATACAAAACAAACCCCCCTAAATTCACAGATACAGAGAACAGATTGATGGCTCCCAGAAAGTGGGGGTGGGGGGAGCCCCAAAATTGGTGAGGGTGGTCAAAACAATGAAGTTGCTATAAGAAAAGATCTCAAAACTTCTCATTACAAAAAGATTGCAGTTTGAATGGTGATGGATGTTAACTAGGTATTATGGTGATCATTTCACAATATAAACAAATATTGAATCATTATGTTGTATACCTGAAACTGATATTATATGTCAGTTAATAACAAAAAATATGCTTACGCTGAACATGCATTTTATCAACATCTTCCTTTGATTTCAAGCATCAAACTCAAAGATTGAGTCAGTCATCAAACATGTTTAGCTCAGTGACCATTTGCCTTCCATTATTCCCTTCTATACCCACCTCGAGCAAAAATATAAAAGGATGATGACAAATATCAGTGGTCAAACTGTTTGCGGAGAGGCCAGAACCCTGTATTAATGTTTTTCCACCATTGAAATCCCCTGCTCATCCCCTTTAATAAGAACGGAAATCCGTGGTCCTCCTCATGATCTCCTTCAAGAGAATTCTCTGTGGGGAGCAGAGTTGACCAAAAACTGCAGCCGAAACCCACCCCTGGATCCCACCAAGGCTATGCTTTCCTCAGCTGTTTCCAGCCAAAGACTGAGCACAGCAGGGGTCTTTGTAGAAATTGTTGTAATTTAGGACTTCTATAATAGGCAACTTTGGCTAGAGGACTCCCTACTGGCTTGGCTAAAGCTTTCTTAAAACTGCACTGTGGTCTCAGGTTCTTCCTATGCAGTCCTCCCTTCCTGCCCTCCTGTCACAGGTGTGAAGCCTTCATCCCTCTTTATCTTTCACAGGCAATTTCCTCCAATAAATCTCTTGCTTGTTCAACCCTGTTTTTGTGTCTGTTTCTCAAAGAACCTGAACAGACCCAAGGAATACAAGGTGTGGTTGAAACACAGGTAGTCAAGTTGGAGTTTGGAGATAGGCTTACTCACTGCCTGCCTGATAAAAAATGGCCTCATTTCAATGGCCCAATTGCTGGCAATTTCAGTGGTACTGACTTAGGAGAAGAAATGTCCTGAGCTCAGGAACTACCCTTAGAGCTACGATGATCCAAGCATTTTAAAGATACAAGAGGCTCAATGTCTATAAAGACAGCAGAGTTGCTGGTTATGAAGTTGTGCTGGTGCCCTAGAGGAGTATAATGAGGAATTGAGGGCCATTAATAATTAAAGACTAAGAATGCATCAAATTGGGGCAGTTTCTTTTGTCATGGAACAGAGCAGTCTGGCAAGGACCCCAGGGGTCAGGGCAAACTCACTGCTAGGATGGCTCCTTAGAAGCCTGGAGAAAGTGCTGGTCGATGTTGAGCAAAGTAGAACATACCTGTGTTGTCTCCTAGCCTGAAGAGCTGGGGGAAGATGGCATACGGGATGGATATATTATGCAAGGCCAGAGAACTAACAGGTTATGTTCCATGGGAGAGCCTGAAACATACGTTACTCACCAAGGTCAACAGGAACGCGCTAGTGAGAGGAGCACTAACACCCAGAAGTTCAGGGCTGGTTGTCCTCTGGAGGCCAGAGCTAAAAGGAAGAGAGCAGTCACAGAGCTGGGCTCTAGATTCCAGGTGATCAGGCCCTTGCCCCCAAATACATGCCAGTAACAGAGGCCAGGTGATAGTGTTTTAACCATTAGAAGCTAGGAGGCCATAATGATCAGCAAGGTTGGAGAAGCAGCCAAACAGCCGTAGTCTGCAGGGAGTAAAAGCATGGTGTCCTTGAGGCAAAAAAGATGGACATCCAATGAGGATACTCCTTGACATACACGACCAGAAAAAGGGCAAGCATGGAGCAGTAGCGGGTTCGAGTGTAGTCACAATAACAAGGCACACTCTACTGCTCAGTTACCAGACCGAGGCCACTTTTTATATGTGGAACCAGAGTTAGGAGGTGGCTCAGTCCTAGAAGGACTTTGCAAACCCACAAGCATGTGCTATAACAGCTCCTCAAAAGAACCTGAGCCCTTTACTTAGGTCACTGTGCTAGGGAAAGGGGAATACCCAGATCTTTCAAAGACTACTGAACCCGTGGTCTAGGTTGGCATGGTTCCCAAAGACCTGAGGAGTCATCCTGGCCCTGTTGGAATGGAGATCAGAGGTCGAACTTACATTGTATAAGTGAACCACAGCTCTTCTTTTAGCCAACCATGGGTACCTAGGCTGCTTCCAATCTTGGCTATTGTACGTAGCACTGCAATGAACATAGGGGTGCATATATTGAGTTACTGTTCCCAGTTTCTTTGCCAGAAATGGAATCTCTGGGCCATTGGACATTTTCATTTTTAACTTTTTGAGGTAACTCCCTACTGCTTTGCACAGTGGTTGCACGAGTCTGCATTCCCACCAACAGTGCACAAGGGTTCCCTTTTCTCCACATTCGCACCAACAGTTGTTAGTGGATTTATTAATGACAGCCATTTTGACAGGTGTAAGGTGATATCTCATTGTGGTTTTAATTTGCATTTTTCTGATGCCTAGTGAATTCAAGCATCCTTTCCCATCACTGAGTACAGTGAGGGTACTAGCACTGGCCCAGTTTTATACAAGATGGGGATCCTTCAACAAGCCACTTTGGCCTTAAGACACCCCATCAGCTTGGCCCACCCTTTTTTTCAGAAATGCTTGGCAGTCGGAGGCTCTTCCGACCCAGGGCTCCCCCCCAACTCCTGTCGAGTCTACCGTACAGAAGGCAGGCTCTCCCTGCCTACTGCTCCCTGTTCATCCTTCAGGCAGTTCCCCTTTAATAAACCTCTTACATGTCTTATCCTGTTTAGGCCTCTGCTTTTTAAAGGACTCAAACTGACACACCGACTCATGTTTATGGGTGTTTGCATATTGTCTCTGAAACTGCACCCAAACCAAGGCTGTACACATTAATGAAAGAATTTGGGTCACCTTGAAAGTAATGTAAGGCCTACAATAGACCATAATCATTAAGATAGATGGCTGATCTCTTCTCAGCCGTAAGAAAGATAATGATGCCAAGGAAGCATAAAAAAACAGAATAATCCAAGTTTAAGAAGTAAACACCAAAGAGTTGAAGTAGCTGGTGTAACCCACCCTGACTCTATCCTCCTCCCACCCTCCAGATTCAGATCTTTATCATCCCTGTGCACCCCTTATGTTTATTACAAATACATTATTCTTAAATAACATTTTTCTTTGGGTTTTAAAAAAATGTCTTTACTTAAACTTGCCTAAAATTTAGGTTTATAAATATTTATAAGAGTTTACTAAGCTGATGATTTAAAAAATGAAAAACAAACCCAACCTATGTCACATAGAACAATTTACAACTTACTGAGATTGAAGAGAAATTATTTAGCAGAAATGGTTACAATGCTGAGAAAATGATGTTTTATTATTGACTTGACCATAAGTTATCATTTATGAAAGGTACATAAATGCAAGGACTCTTTGAAGTCTCAAAAAACCAAATATAAAGCACAGAAAATGTATCTGATTGAAAAACGTACAGACATAATTTTTCTACGTTACATGAAATCCTAGGAAGAATCACTGCAATAATTCCTCAATATTAAAGGTAACACAAGAGATGTTTGATCTTGTATGTCAATTTAACTGTACAGTGTCTACAATAACAGATCAGAGCTTAAGTACATTTATAATTTCTAACAGTAAAAATAAGTTTGCAAAACCTCTGTATACTTCGATGAAATTAGAAAGTAGATCGAGGATAAAATGCTGTACAGCCTTACCAACCAGGCCACCTTTTAAAGATAATTTTTCAGGGTAGCTAAAAGGAACAACAAAGGCTTACACATATAAAACTAAACTGTTACAGTAGAGCCGGTACAGCTGGCCCTTGAAGAATGTGGGGGTCAGGGTGCCCGCCCTCTGAACAGCTGAAAATCCGTGTAACTTCAGTCAGCCCTCTACGGTCATGGATTCCCAACCTTTGACAGAAAATACTATTTCAATCCTTTTTGGTTCAATCTATAGATGCACACCTGGAAATACAAAGGGCCAACTGTTTATTTACTGGGGAAAAAACCCTGCATTTAAGTGAATCTGGCCAGTTCAAATCTGTGGTGTTAAAGGATTAACTGCATTTTTTCTGTAGAATTTGCAAATCGCAACGTATCAAACAAGCACAAGTGAGCACTGGCAGGAACACACCAAACATTACTTCACGACGGCCACTATGTGTTTCTTCTTCTCCGACACGATCGGCACGGACCCGGGCTTGCTGTGTTTGAGGCGATTCACTTCCCTAGAGTAAGACAAAACACACAGAAAAATAAGCGAGTTTACGAGAAATCATCTTAAGAAAACTAAAAAAAAAAAAAAAAAAAAAAAAATGACAAGGCATTTTCTTTCACTGGAAAACTACTCACTGAAATAGAAAAGTTTCCACAATGAGATTAGTTAAAAAATAAAAGAAAAAAAAAACCCTTTTGTTAATCTACTTACTTACTACTTCTCTTATTACAAATCAGTGTCCTTTGTAAGTTAAAAAATGTGCTACAGTTGAGAAAATATTTAAAAGGGACTCAACCCCAACATCTATTCAAACAATAGCAAAAATAATAACCATTTGTATAGTATAACTTTAAAAAAATAGCTCCATTTTAGAATTCCTGTAATGCTTTGCATGAATCCAAGACCTGCAAGGACCATTCCACAGGGGAAGCAGTCCTGGTGCTTTAGAGTCACAACTGTTAGATCCGAATGCTATGATGAAGCAGGTTAGAAAAGTTTTTATTTAAGAAATGTGCGCTATGAGTTCTTTGCACATAATACCTCTAAACTCTAGCTACATCAGAAAGAGGGTGGGGGGAGAATGGGGAAAAGGTACCAGGCATAAGAAGCATAAATGGCAAGCACAAAACAGACAGGAACAGTTAAGAATAGTATAGATGGAGAAGCCAGAGAACTTATATGTATGACCCATGGACATGAACGAAGGGGGGGTACTGATGGGAGGGCTGCAGGGCAGAGGGGAATAAAGGGGAGAAAAAATGGGACAACTGTAATAGCATAATCAATAAAAGATAGTTTAAAAATAAAATAAAAAATAAAGAATTTTTTAAAGCATTATCTATTTATAATAGTCCCTCTAGTATGAGCAGAAAGCATTTTTTTATTTTGATAAAAATAATTTTCACTGTCTTTTTTTTCATTGTCTGTTCTTTAAACATAGTCTCAAAAACAGGTATTAGAAATTCTCAAAATCTGAGGGTGGAAGCAAGGGAGGGAGGTGCGTTTAGAGGGGCTTGGGGGAAGGGGTGGGGAGAAAATACACACAAGTGTGATTGAACCACAATAAAATAATTGAAAAAAAAAAAAGAAAATTAGAAAAAAACATCAAAGTATAATAGCACATGAACTATTCCTTTGAAAGGCAGGTTCTGGTTTGTTTCTGGTGACATGGGAAGGAGGGGACAGTCAGGGAAAGGTACTGAGGTAGAGTCAAATGGCCCAAAACACACTTTCGCCTCCGAGCTTCTTTCATGATGCGCTGTTCTTGAATCTGACTGTAGATGGATTTTGGTAGATGTCTGTGACGTGAGATACGTTTTATATGAGGATGATGCTGAAATTTTTCCTTCAACTTCTGGTTATAATCTTTGGCTGCCTTTTCTCGTGATGTAAGCTGAAAAAAAAACACATTTTGATATTTTAATGAACGGTGTGTTCTTTGTTTTGCTTCAGTATAAACAAAGCTAGAAGGACCCCAAATTTCCCCCCAAAACTACACTTTTATGACATGCAAGGTAATTCTACCCTCTGCAAGGTCCGACAGCAGTACCAGCCCTGCAGGCCCTGACTTTGCATTCGGGTAGCACGCCTATAATGCAAGCAGACACCAGCAAGGAACGCAGCTGTGCCGAGGGGAGCAGGCCTATGTGGACACTGAGCTGGACCCTCTCCCTGGGCACAAATAACATAGAGAACCACCTAAATTAAACAATTTTTTTATTTTTGTAGAAATAAGTACTGAAACAGAAGAGATTAAGCGTTCAATGATAACAAACTCACAACTATCAACAACTGAACCTAAAAAACACCCCAACAGCAAACCAAGCAAACAACTAGACCAGGAACAGAAGCACAGAAATGGAGATGACACGGAGGGTTATCAGCAGGGAGTGGGAGGGGGAAAATGGGGGAAGCAAGGTACAGGGAATAAGAAGCATAATTGGTAGGTACAAAATAGATGGGTGGCGGGGTGCATTAAGAACAGTATAGGAACTACAGAAGCCAAAGAACTTATATATATGACCCATGGATATAAACTAAGGGGGTGGGACTGAGGGGGATAAAAAGGAGAAAAAAATGGGACAACTGTAAGAGCATAATCAATAAAATATACTAAGAAAAGAGAAAAGATTAAGTGTTCAATTTGGTAATAACTAGCCTTGGTTAAACAATGTGAAGGATGGTAAGATTTAGAGGAACATTTAATGATGAAGTGAAACCAGGGCAGAGAATAATACTTAGCAATCATTAAAGCTAAAATAGAATTGCCTTTAATTACTGCTTATCATCTCGTGATTTTCTACCAAGGCTAAGCAGAAAATAAATCACCCTTAACCTTTCCTTCTTAAACTTAACGTTTCTGATATAAACACTCCGTATGTTTCTTAGATAAAACATGAGACATGTAGGAAAACATCAAGAACAAAACAAAAAGAGCCATCACTCCACAACCTAGAGACAGCAGGCCAATGACATTTCTTACATTTTCATTGAATCTTTTTGAAGTCTGAAGTTTTCTGTATTTTTTTCAAGTGTTCACTGTGTCTTTAATATGAAAAGATCCCACAGAAAACTGCAGCCTTTAATCTGCCTGATTGACATTCAAAGAAACAGGTGTTCTCAGTTCTGAGCTTCAGAAAGTTGCTACATCTCGCTCCACCCCGAGGGAGGTGCAAGGAATCAAGAAGGCTCAAATTACTATCAAACATCTGAATTAATAAAGGCTTCTGAAGGTGCCTTCGACAGGAAAGAAAATCTCAGTACAGCCTTGTGTGTTTTGGTGTTAACATTTCTTTCTATCACAACTATGCCATTTCATAAAAATACCTAAAACACTTCAAATAAGTTCTCTTTACAATATAATGAAATCCAATAAAACAACATAAAAGAAAATGGGTCTCTTACCACACCCAGTTTTTCAGCAGCGTTAGCCTTCCAGAGACGAATGTTCATTTCATCAGACCCACACATGATGTACCTGCTGTCGGAAGTCCACCTGACACAGATGACATGCTGCATCCGCTTGGTGTGGTACACTTCCCTGGGGAACAGGAATTCCGTTAAAACCGTTAGGATTCGGGCACACATTTTCTTGAACCACTCCTACCAAATATCAGAAAACCACTGTTGAGTCCTAAGAAAGTATAAGAGAAGTTAAAATTCCTTTTAATGTACTTTTATTGAACCAAACTAAAAAGATTCTATGCCATATTCTGGGTAATTAAAAATTATTCCTGTCCTCAGAGAAGTTACAATCTAGTAAGAAAAATACAAACAAACAAAGCAAAACTAGACGCCCAGAAAAGTAACTAAAGGCATATAACAAGGCATATTATACATGTAAAATATGTTGACGCTGAAGATTTTGTAACAGTAAGATATGGATTGTTTTTAATAAGCCTCCATCCACCCTCCAAATCAATTCTGGTCAACCATCACCCTTTCCTTTTTAAATTTTACAGGAAAACAAGATAAATGCAAAGGAATTCAAGGAACACATCCTGATATGTTGATCCTAGTATCTGATTTTTGTTTTGGCCAAATTGTTTAAAAAGTTTAATTAATTGAAGTGAGAGATGATTTAACATGTGTGAAATGAAAGGGAGGGCTACAGAAGTGTCTGATGAGCTGATGTAAGAATCATTTAATAAAAGAGAGGTCAAATACCAGACCTATTTGGAAAGGCTGTGAAACATGCTAAGTGAATTCACAAAAGATACTATATTGGGAAGTGCGAAGAAGAGCATTAAAAAACAAGTAAAAGACAAGGCCAGAAAAAAATAAAAAGATGAGACTTCTGGAGAAGTAAATTTTCCATATCTGGATTAAAAATGATTCAAAATGCAGACTAGTTGAGAGAAAGGAAATAAGGTCAGCACGCTGCACAGTAAAAGAAAACCTATACACAATGACCGAATCAGCATTATTGAGACAAAAGCATCTCTGAGTGCATCTAGTCTTTTACACTGTTTCTAAGAGATATGTTTTGAATGAATTCTTGAATGAATTACTTCCAAAAGTGGGGCAATGGTTAGGAAGAACAACCTATTAAGATGAAAACAGATGAGACAGAATGCTTATTCTTGTCCTCCCAGTGCTCTGCTTTTACAAGACTCAATTCTTACATACAATCTCTACACATTTAAGAGACCCCCTTTTTTCCCCACAGCCATGTAATGAACTTAAATATTAGGAAATTCAATCAGGCATTAGTACCCATTAAAAATAACCTGTTCATATATTAGACCAGTCAAATCCAATGGTTAGTCACTTAACCAACTTAGAATCCTCCTTACTGGTGAACTGCAGAGTTTTAAATTTCTAGGCATGTTTTTGCTTGCACATAGGACAGAAACTAGTTACTCCATGTGAATACAACTGATTTAATCTTGGTTGCTTAGTTATTAATATTGATTTAACTGTACTTTTAAAAACAACCTACTCAAAATTTACTTGAAAAGTACACTTTAACAATTTTAAGGTCATTCAAAGGAAAATACTTTTAAGAAGCAGATCAAAGCATTGCCTGTGTCACTGATGTTTGTAACAATAGGGAACTATGCAGACCACAGAGAAACAAACTAGAAGCAGCTTTCAAGCAAATGAAGGCAAAGGTCAGAGGGAACACCATTTATATCTACACCCAACAGGAAGTAGGCATATTATAAAACCTCCAATGACACCAGCCGACAGTTCCCTGAAAATGGGGTGTCAAACACATCATGTCATATAATTTTAGAATAACCTGAGCTCTTCAGCGAGATCTGCATTTAGTTGTCCACATTAGCTCTGGAAGAACTCTGACTGAATTTATCTACTAGGCCCTTGGGATTATAGGTGCCTAAACAATCCCATTTCTTACTTTTTCTTTGTTTCTTTACTATTTTGTCTTGTGTGTGTGTACTTATTCATTCTGTTGAAAAAATACTGTCCTACTCCCTTTGGAGGTTCTGGTGTGAAGAAATGATGAAAAGCCACATTCTCTTGATTCTTAATATTTTCCAGAACATTTATTTTAATATTTATTGATTATCAATATTTACCGATTCTTAATATTTTCTGAGAAGAAATGTAAACTATTAGCCCTGCCTTGGGTCTGACTGAATAATCCCAATAACTATTCATGACAGTTTGAATGATACCAAGTCAGTTGCAACAGCCATATAGAAACCAATACCAGTTGTTCTACAATGAAGATGATGGAATGAAGATTTGGGAAGGGAATGAATATCAAAGTCACCAAACACTCCAATCAGTATGCTTTTGACTTAATCTGATACACAGTGTTAATGACAATTATTTGCTGGCAATCAGTGACGATACATTGTGCTTTAGGAATCCACATGGCTTTTTCAGACTGAAGAGGAGAAAAATGCAACTATGTAAGTAAAAACACCAAAGAGAGAGAAGTAGATTGGCTACAAGGAGAAAAGGTGCGGAAGAACTGCTCCATTCTCAGGAGGAGAGTCTGAAAGACCTTTCGGTTTTGGTGAACACAGGGCTGGGACTAGGGGAGGCAAGTGAGCTGCCTGTAGTGCAAACTCTGAAAGAGGCCCCCGATTCTGCACCCCAGGCACCTCACTCCGAGGCACCGAGTACCGGCCCTGATGGAACAGAAAGACACCGAGTCAGAGGAAGGACACAAGAGGCCTTTGAAAATGAACAGCATTTTTCAGAAGGTTCAGAAACCTTCAGCACTATAGGAACTAGGCTAGTTATGATTAATAATTAAAATCCTTGTCACTACATTAAAATGGTAAGATTTCTCTACCCTGTTGTTGTTACAACAGCAAACTAAACATTCTCTGGATTTATTTTTATTTTTTAAATTTTTAAATAGATTTTATTTATTTATGTTTAGAGGGGAAGGGAAGGAGAGAGGGAGAGAAATATCAATGTATGGTTGCCCCTCGTGTATCCCCTGCTGGGAACTGGCCTGCAACCCAGGCATATACCCTGACTGGGAATCGAACCGCGATCCTTTGGTTTGCAGGCCCACACTCAATCCACTGAGTGACACCAGCCAGGGCCTAGACTTATTTTTTAAGTGAAGGAAGGATCCAAGAGAAATCCTCTGCTACCATCGATTTTTGTGAAGCCAGGTATACTGTGTCACCAGCTGCACACTGATGTCCTCGAGCAGGGATCTTCCTCTCCCACCTTCACTATCCAGGCTCTTTCTTATCCCTGATTCTACCCATTTTTCACCTTCCTTTTCTATTATCTCCAATCATGCCCTGTTATCTTTCACCAAGGCCACTTCTCCCCACTGAACCATTGTAATTCCACCAAGTAAAATCAAGTCATTCACTAAACCACGCACACACACGTATATACATGTATCTATTGTGTGTATTTTTATTGCATTATAGAGAAAATATTTAGATTTCCTTTTTAAATTTCCAGGTTATTAATATGATTATATTAAAACGGAGCTGGTCATACCTTCAAGCATGAGTGACACCACTATAATCCTTTAATTATCATAATTTTTTATGGGTAAATTTCCTCCACTTTATACTTGGATTTGCTTTGTTTCCAGGAACACACATACGACCTTATTAAGGATTAAGAAGAAAGTGTATAAAAGTGCCGTGTAAACCAAGAGGCTTTTACACAGGGGTGGGCTTTACAGTCAGCCTATAAAGCAAGAACCGAGGGCAGGCAAAAGTACCCTTAAAACCCTTTACAGTTTTCTGTAACCTACCTCCATACAAAAATATGTAACACAATACAGATGTATAATTGTGCACCACAGTTAGTAACGTATAATATACACTAGAGAGCCAAGCCATACAAAACACATCTTCGACACTGGAATCGCATTCACTGCGCTGACAGAAGAGAGGCCCGCGGAGCACCACACAGCTGAGAACTCCTACTGCCCGCCCCCTGGCGATTCCAGGGAGCAGACCTACTAAGTGGGACAGAGGGAGAATGGTCCTGAGGACCAATATGCTGCTCTTCTGTATTTTTAGCTCAGTGTATAAAAGCCGAATTTGAATAAATAACAATAACAAAATGTAGGGTATCATTATTAATTGCTTTAAAACTGTATCAAAGAGAACTTACCTAAGCTATTAATTAGCAAATTAATTTTTTTTCAAAGTTTAATATTTTGGTACAATGATGGATGTATGTCATTTTATATATTTGTTCAAACCCAGAGAATAAACTACACCAAGACTGACCCCTAAGGTAAACTACGGATTTAGTTTTGGGGTGACTGATGCATCAATGTTGGTTCATCCTTGGTTAACAAATGTGCCATTCCGGTGAGTGATGCTGAGAATGGGGGAGAAGCTAGGGATGGGTCGGGGAGGGGGTATATGGGAAATCTGTCACCTTCTTCTCAATTTTGTTATGAGCCTAAAACTGCTATAAAATAAAGTCCTTATTTTAAAAAGTTTACTAAATAGTTCTAAAATAAAAGGCTTTGCCCTAAGGCAAACACTAAAATTCCACATCAACAAATTATGAGTACAATATCCTGTTTAATGAAAGGAACTGCCCAGCAGGCTGATGTTTCGCCCACAGATGATACAGTGCAAGTTGATACCCAAGTCAAAACACCAAAGTGTGAGCCCCACCATATACACACAACCCAATGACCTTTCAACGAAGATAAACAATGACCAAGGCCAGGAAAAAGGAAATAAAAACAAATGGTTTACTGGCAGTACCGTACCTGCTTCTACTTTTGTTCACGGGGAAGATTCGAATAGACTTATCAAAGCTGGCGGACACGAACTCTTTCCCGGTGGGAGAGTAGTCCACGTCCAGCACGGCAGACACGTGGTCCATGTGCACCATCACGGGGCTGTCCAGCGCACGCATGTCGAACGTATACAGGCTGCAAAAGGATTTTTAATCATTAGATACAAACTCCCGTAACGCGGCATAGGCAGTACTGAGGGACACCAGTGCGGGTGACCCTCAGAGCTAAATGATGCACATCTAAAGAAATAGCTCAATTCTTCACACAGCAAGTAAGAGAGAGGGAAAAACACCAACTGTTTTATTACTCCTTAAGATTACACTTACACACTTTTATCCTTATAAACACCTTGTAGAAAACAGGAATTTCAAACAAGTACAGAATACAAAACTTATCTTTATTTCCACCACCCAAAGTCAGCACAGTATAATTATTTCTAATCTTTTTACCATAAAAATTAAATGTATACTTTTAATAAAACTGAGATATTATATAAAGCTCTGTATTCTGATATTTCACACAGCATATTATAAACATTTAACCATTAAATAATCTTTGGAACTATTTTAATGGTTGCATATTTGAACGTGTTAAAATAATGTATAATTTGTTTCAATTCATTTATTAATAAGTAATTCTTAAATGAAATGCCAATACTTGAATTTTTGTCACTTAATCTTTGGCTGAATGAGATGATTTCAATTAAGTCTGTACAGATTCCTGTAAACAGAAATATTAAGACCAGCGGCATGAACATTTTTGAGGCTTTTGAGTTGACAACTGATTTTTAACAAAGTTGCACTAATTTATACTCCTATCAGTGATACATAAGAGTGAGCACAGGTTTTCAAAGAGTGTACAAATATTAGAAAACTACACTTTACACACAATTGGTAAGAACAATAGCTGCATGACTGGCAATGTTTAAAAACTGTTCGTGAACAACTGAAAGAATAACAAGTGCTTCAAATGAGCGGACACATACAATGGACGACAGCAATGCAGTGTCCCTGTGGCGAGTTCCTAACATCACAACACTTCCAGACACAGAGTCATGAGCAGAAGTTGAAGAAGAAACAGGATATCCACATATTTCAAAGTTATCTCCCCAAATATGTATCAATTACCTAAGGGAAAAATAGCAACTTTATAGCAGAGGAACCTGGCAGATGCCACCTTAAGTGATCCAGGCTAACATCACCAGTAATGAGACATACTGTCATCATGTAACACTGACTCAATGCACCAAGAAGGGCACATCAGTTTTGTGGTAGTCTTACCAAAAATGCATCATAATGAGAAACATCAGTTAGCCCAAATTAAAGGCAGTCTACAAAATAACAAGTAAGTTCTTTTCAAAAGAACTCAGGTCATGAAAGACAAGGTCAGACTGAGGAATAATCAAAGACTGGGCAGACTAAGGACACAAAGCAATCAAATGTAACAAGGGATCCTGCACTGGATCCTAGAACAGAAAAGAACATTAGACTGGGGACAGAATAAAGTCTGTACTTTAGTTAATAGTACTGTACCAATGCTAGTAAATACCATGAGTATCAGCTACCTGAAGAGCTACAGATTTTGTAAGCAGATGTTTTTAGTTTCTACTGAAACATGTATGGTTCAGTCACTATACAGTCTCTAGCAGAGATCAGCCAACTCTCTCTGTAAAGGGCAGATAAACACTTTGGGCCCTGTGAGCCATACAGTCTCTGTTGCAACTGCTCAGCTCAGGCACGACAGCACAAAAGCAGCCACGGTCAGTACACAACTGCGTGTGGCTGTATTACAACAAACCTTTACAAAAACAGGCAGCAGACAGGATTTGGTCCCAGGTCATAGCTGACAATTCCTTGTCTGTTATCACTTTGAAAACAGAATACTTTTCTAATGATGCTCATCTTCGACTTGGGAAACTGCTTTGTGTGAGTGTGGGTGTGTGTATTCCAGCGAAACAAATGACAGTTTTCTCACATATATGAAGAAATTTTACATAGGAAACACATTTCATTAAACATACAACTGAGACATTTCTGACAGAAATAAGCTTTAAGGAGGGAAACTTACTTGTAATCTTCATTTGCTGCAGTGAAAATGAAAGCTTCCATAGGGTTCCAACAAAGTGTATTTGTTCTCATATCTAAGATGACCTGAGAAAAGAAGCATACACTAACCTATTACTATGAAGTCAACTCCCTCTAAAATAAATAAATTTCCCACTTCATTTCCTTTCCTTTTTTGTCACTGATTCAAGAAAATATTTAGTAAGTACCTATTATGTGCTCAGTGCAACATGAGAAGAAATCAATTAATAATTGCTTTCTGAACACACAGGCAGGGTGGTCAATAGTGAAAAATACAAAAATATTTAATACATAGTCCCCTGACCTCAAATAACTTATAGTATAATCAGAAAAATAAGACATATGTAAAAAAGTTAAAATATAAACAATGAAGCAGTAATTATGAAATCAGAGGCAAAATGGAAAGTGAGCTTAGAGTTAAAAGAGAGAAGTTTCAAAAGACAAGCATGACTGGAGCTGACCTGTGAAGAACCAGTATATTACAAAGCTTCTCAACAAGAACATTTTGGGCAGGACAACCTTTGGTGGCGTGCAACTGTCCACTCTAGGACTCTAGTTTAGCCTCCCAGGCACCTACCTATTAAATGCCAGTAGCAGTCTCTAAAATGCCCCTCCCACATTTCCAAAATACAGCTGGTGAGAGAGTGAAATCTGATTGAGAACTACTACATTTGGGAGAGAAAAGATGAAAGAAACACTGACAGTCTAGTAGACAGAACAAAGAAGTAACAGAAAGTGGCATTTCTGCATTCCTCAAGGGGACCTGCCTGTGACAACCTCTATTTATATGTCTCCTTATGACTAAAACAGTTAAATAAATGGAATACACACTGGGACCAGGTTTGGGAGGCCTTGAGAGCCAGGCTACAGCTCTTTTCTTCAACCTAAAAGTATTGGACCACCATTTACAAATGGAAAATGCAGGGGCAGGAGGGTGGTGGTGCAGAAATTACTTATTAAACTAGTACTTTATGTTGGCATTCCGCTAAAGTCCCATGTTTTATTCTCACCAATGTGCTGCAAGGTTGTTATTAATATCACCATTTTACAGGAGAAACACAGATTAAGTTATCCACTTAAAGTTTAAAACCAAAGTTCACGTAGTACCCTTCCTACTGTATGACATGAATGAGTAAAATGATAAAAGTGGCATTTTGAAAAGGTACCATTTAACATATTTATGAAGTTCAGACTTCAATGAATATACTCTATTTCCTTTAAGATTTTATTTATTTCTTTTTTAGAGAGGGGAAGAGAAGCAGACAGGGAAAGAAACATCAATGTGTGGTTGCCTCTTGCATGCCCCCTACTGGGGACCTGGCCCACAACCCAGGCATGTGCCGTGACTGGGAATCACACCAGAGACTCTTTGATTCGCAGGCTGGTGCTCAACCAGAGCCACACCTGCCAGGGTGAATATACGCTACTTCTAAGATTTCTAAATTTCTTAGATGTTATAATATGATTTGGGAACAACAAAAATAATAAAAGCTTTTTTTTTTTTTTACATGTGGACTCTTTGACAATGACCTCGTGGTACATCAATGATGTCTATCTAGCCCTTCCTGTATGCTCACCATTCTTCTATTAGCACTCCTCTTTACCAACAATATTTCTCTCCTTTCAGAGTTAGCCTAAGGTTGTATTAGCTTTGATAGGGGACTCCTGGAATGACTGCTTAGTACTGTTGGGAAATCTGTCACTTTGAACAAGACAGTGTTTGTCTAAACAAAATGCCAAATTAGTACCTGTCAGCACATAACTGAAAAAATAAAGCTGGTTATGTAAAGTAGTTACAAAAATTTCTGGAATACTTTATGTGCTGTATGATGATCATGGGCCTGAAGTGAAGGGATGCAATACTTCTAATTAAAGAACTTTCAATTTAGTGAGTACTAACTAGATTCCTAAAACTGGCATATGGGAGCCACAGAGCTGACTAGGATCCAGTACCAAGTGTAAATGCAGGTCTCTAAAAAGTAATAGGGAGCTGAGACAATGTCACTGTGATCACTTTGTAAATTTATATGTTCCAATAACATCTCTATAAAAAAATTTGTTTTAACTCTGAAGAAGCATTTGCTCCATATTCTGTTACTCAATCTACCAAGGAATGCATTAACAACAGAGTAGAGCAGAAGACACACTGATACTCACCTTTTTCAGAGGAGTAGCTTGCCTCATATCATATAGTACTATATTCCGGTCAGAAGCACAGCTTCCCAAGAGAAATGTCTAGAAATAAGTACAACAATCACCAGTTAAAGCCAGACTTGGCAGCAAACCATGCCTGTTCAGTGAATAAGTGATTTAATTACCCTTAATGTTTACATTTATGACGCAAAGTTATAGCCTTCAAGTCCATTTTAAGAGAATACAATAAATCACTCATAATCTCAACAACTAAATATTTTCCCTGTTAAGTCCCCATTTGTTTTAGATGCCAATGATGACAGTATACAGATAATTCTGTACTCTATAACAGAACATATTTTACTTATCCATCTTCAACTTACATCTGTTTTCTGTTTTTCAGTATTATAAATAACACTTGAATAAACACTTTCATACACTCAGCTCTTCTCTTTCTATGGCTAAAATTTCAGTAGTGGTATTACTGAATCAAAAAAACATTTAAAAAATCACTGCTTTTGGTATTTAGGGCTAATTGTTAACCAGAGAATTGTCCAGCATACACTGTGATGTGGGAATTTGTCAACTTTACTGCAACTGGTTTTAGGTAGTGTCATTTAAAAGTTAATATCTACATGACAATATTTTCTAATTTTATAAATTATTACTTTTATTAGTAGTTAAACATGTCCTCAGGGAATATTAACTGTAAAAATTAGGCCTGTCTTTTGTTTAATTGTCTCACAATGTTTCAAATATTTATTTCTAAGTCAGTTATAAATGTGAAAGGCACTTACATAACCCTCAGTGTTTAGTGAAAAGAAGCCCTCTGGCTACAGTGGAGCCTTGAACTCTACTTTGTACAGCCATTCCTCCTCACTCAGGATTCCTGACACTAATTAACTCTTGGCTTCTGCCTACCAGTTACTTCCTATCGCAAATGTAAGAGGAACAAGACTTATTTACTAAGTATCTATATGGCCAGCTCCTATACGCAGGTGTGCAAAGTTCAAATAAAACATCATCATGATCTCCAAAACTCTTCTTTTAAATCACTTCCTCTCTGAAACTTTCTCCTAGTTAGTGACTCCTCTCAACCTTTCTTGGTGTTTCATCACATCACCTCAAGGTCTGATCAGTTTCCATTTCTAGATATAAAGACTTTGATGTAAGCAAAGCAAAAATTCCACCTGGACTGAAAACTGACCCCCACACTGTAAAATGTGGCAATGCTTCATATAAACACTTGGCTTTATTAGAATTCTAGGCTCCAATATTTTAACCGAAAATGTATGATTAATAACTAGAGGCGGCAAATACACTCCATTTGTGCACAGCGACATGCCCTTTCCATTAAGTTTAACACAGGATGAGACGTGCACACCATGTACTTCTACCACTACGTCCGTTCATAAGGTTACAAAAATAAAACCACACACACAGCTGAACAAATACAGTGATCACCCAGGCAAATTTGAAAAACATGGTTGTCAGGTCATCGCTAATGATTACCATTTTAGAATGGCCCCACCAGTTCTCCTGACACAGATGTTCACCAAAACACAGAAACAGAAGATCTTCCCTCGGAGGAGAAATCAGTATCTGTCTCCCTTCTGTTCTTTTAAAAATTTTTAAATTTATTGATTTGAGAGAAACACTGATCCATTGCTCCACTTATTTATGCATTCACTGGTTGCTTCTTACATGTGCCCTGACCAGGGGTCGAACCCGCATCCTTGGTGCACGGGGACAACGCTCGACCAACTCAGCCCCCAGCCAGGGGCTGTTTTTTGTTTTTTAAATAGCAATAACATCACCATGCTAAACTTGAACAGCACCTCCTAAAGACATTCACATACATTATCACACTTTACACTCACAACAAACCTAGGAAGTGAACTGAAAGATATAATTAATCTTATTTTAAAAACAAAGAAACAAATGTAGAGAAACAGTCTGGACTGTATAAGGTCAAAGGCACGCTGGCAGTAGGTTATACACTAGGGGCAGGAAGAGTATCCTCTGACTGACTTCCAGCAGCACTACAAGGTCAAGCGCACATCACAAGGCGGCACCTCATGTGCCAATACAGTACACAATTTTACACCCTGCCGCTTTGACTTCGCCCTTCTACCCTCCCTCTTGTCAGCGTGGGACGCCCAGAGTATAGAACCTGCACATCAGGATTTTTCTCTCACACTACCTAACACGATAATTTCCCGATAACTTCTAAAATCAGCTTACACGTGCCGCAATTTCCTTTTCTTTCTACAGGAAAAAGCATCTCTACTGGAGTCTTCTGGGCAATGAGTTCACCTCTAGTTACACATTCAGAAAAAGCTCCTGAGAAGATCTAGCTTAGCACGCAGGGCAGCCTCTTTTCCTAAATTCAGACCTGACCAGAGAGAGTAGCAGCCTATCTCCACCTCTTCCCTCACACCTGGAGGAACTTGGAATCATAACTCATACTTCCTAGAAAAGAAAAATGTAACTACCTATCATGAGGTACAATAATCAAGCATATTATTAGGAAGCTCTGGTGCCCTTGCCACTTACAAATAACTACATAAAACAATGCTCAATTCTCCTTCTTCTGACCTCCAAGAGAGTGCAAATCAACATCTCCCTGAAGGTCCCACGATGTACCCTGTGGTACCTCAGTGCTGAAGACATGGGTCAGACTGGAGTGTCGCAGCACAGTGTGTGTGAATTCTGCCCCCTAGCACAAGCACACACCCTCCTCTGAGGCGCTTACACTGGTGTCCAGGCCTGACCCACGGACAAAAATATTTTGAGATCTCAGAACTCAGGGCATCAGAACACAGATATAATCTGGAAAATTCACCAAAGGCCAGAAACACAATGAAAACTCAGAAAAATTGTATCACATGCTTAAAAGTTTCCTACAGAGAGCTGAAATTATTACATAAGGAGGAAACAATGAGTAAAATACACTTCAAAAAGACACATTACCTCAATTGGGTTAAATTTAACACTACATATACTGTCGAATCCCCAGGTCATTGAGCATATAGGGCTGGTTCTTTGTTCATCCCAAATGTCCACTTGCTGTCCACATGTGGCAAAAACAGCCTCCTTCCAGTGATGATCAATCCCTGTATACACTGTCTTTAAAAGCAGAGAGGTTGTTATAAATGGGTCTTTCATTTCAAATCTACAGAATATTTCAAATATATTTATCCACTCTCTCTCTCTCTTTTTTTTTGGAGAAAATCCCTATTCACAAAGAAACTTCTTTGAAACCCTTAAAGGAGAAAAAAGTACCTTAAGGAGTGATTCGGCCTATCACACATTCTGGGAATAAAGAAGAAATGCTAACATAGGATGCATCTAGTTAAGTGTGAAAACATATCACTGAAGCAATTTTTAAATCATCATTGGGTTACTGAAGGATCTAATGAAATACAAAAGCAATTTCTAAAAAACTTCATTCTACATTTACCATGTGAAGTACTCACTAGATAACAAGTGGATTAAAATTTAGAGAAAAAAGTAGAACTAGTGAGGGTGGATGTTAATATTGTTAAAAGCAATAAAATCAATAAAAGCAATAAAATCTTGTAAGTTTGACATTATCCACTCAAAATAGGTGATTAATCTAGTCAGGTCCAAATTAAAGTCTGCCTTTGTACTATCTTGTAAAAACTGTTTGCAAAGCAAGTTAAGAGGGCACACAGGGTCCGGCAGAAGTAAGGCCCGCTCCAGTGTGGTTGGTAGGGTAATAAAATGAGTGTGATTATTTATAGTTTAAAAGATTTTGTAATAAAAAGGGAGCACTATTTGTGCTGGACCCTGTATTTAGCTAATACTTTAAGCTTTTAAGAACTCTTAGCAGCATCTACAGGTTTTAACTATTTTCTACTCATAAAGGGAAGTCCTATAAACTTTTCCACAATTAGAATCGTCTATACCACAGAGGAAGAGGTAAGACTAAATACTTCAAAAGACTTTTGGAACTTCTGGAGAAAAAGCATTCTGCAAGTATGAAGCCAGCTCTGTTTCAGACATCACTGGCAGTTTTTCACCACCTGCAGGCTACTTCCACCCCGTACTCATACCCCACCTCCACGTTCCTTTAAGAACACTGAGAGTTTCTTAAAATCTGAAAGGCAGAACCTAAATATATACTAACTATAATAGTGAAAAGACAAAGTGAGTTTAAAAAGGCATTTTTAAAGGTTAAATCTAATATTACAACTTTGCTTACCATCAAATGTAAGCATTATAAAACATGGGTAACCAAGAATTCTGAATTATACTTAAGCTAAACCATATCATCTGATTTGCAGAATAATGTTTTAAGAAATTAAATGAGATTTATACAAAAAGCATCACCATATTATTACATTTCTTCATTTCTTAAAGGATTCTTTCAAGTTAGACATCCTAAGCTTTGTGTAAGATCTATGACAATATAAATCAGACAGAAACTGAAGCATTATTTTTTCTAATCTTTTTACCTTACAGATGTCCCCCCCAGGGCTTTGCCAGAAAGATGCCTCACTGCACCCTCTGGCTAAAAACAGGAATTGAACCCAACTATAGCGAACACTGAAGAACTGTTCAAATTCTTTAGTTGCAAAGGACCAAAACGACATTAAATATTGATTAAAACAGGTCAACTGTTACAGTCTAAAGTCTTTAATTTGTATCTATATCTTTTTTGAAAGACAAATTATGAAATAATTTGAAAAGAGAAGGTTTTCAATAGACAAAGTACAGGTCAACTTATTTTTGTACCTTTCCTAATATTGTGTGCAGCGGCTCTTCCTCTTCTCCGAAGCCTGGGCCATCCATTTTCCACTGCTTCACAGTTTTGTCATCGCCAACCTAAAACATTTGTTATGGTGATGATAATAAACACTAGTTATCGAGTGTACAAACATCTCCAGTTTTAAAGATAACACATATGATATTTGTCCAGTAGAATTACTCATGTATTTATCTCGCTTGTTATAAAAATCTATAACAAATACATATACTATATAAAATTAAAAATAAAGTAGTATGGGTAGAGCAAAAGAAAATGAGAGTAGGAACAAAGTTAGGTCATATCCAATGGCAGAAAAACGCATACTGCAGTAAGGATGGCATTTCAAATTTGAGAGAAAAACAGATTTTAATAAAACGATCTTGTGCTATCCGGTGGTCATTTAAAAAGTTGAACTAATTTGATGCCTGACATAAAAATAAAATGCCAGATAATTTTAAATATAAAAAATGAAAAATAAAAAATTTTAAAAAAGAACTAGAGAGGAGACATTTTTATAATCTTAGCATAAGTAAAGTCCTTCTTTGCCTGACATAAATGTCCAGAAACTACTGAGTTGAGAATTTTGAAACTGAACTACAGAGCTCCAAGGTACCCTATGAATTTTTCAGAGGTCCATGAGGTTAAAACTATTTTTATAATGCCAGTAAAGACCTCATGTGCCTTTTCACTGTGCTCACGGATGTATAGATACAATGATGGGTACACCTGTTGGCACCTTAGCTCAAATCAAGACAACAAACTGGATTTTTAGATTTGGGTCTGTAGAGATACTATGTGAAACAAGCTACAAAACAGAATGCCTAATACTGTACAACCTGATTTGTTTAAAAACATCATGTATTTATCTGTAGGAAGAGAATAATTTTAGCTATTTCCTTGCACCAAATTCAAAAAGAGAAACACTTCCTACAAAACAATTCATAGTGCTCGTGATATTAGAATAGGATAAGTGGTGAGGAGGTAAGTTTGGGTAATAAGGCCAGACAAGAATTTCTTTTGTTGAGGATGCTAACAACCAAAAATATTTATTAATAGGGCTATATTTTATTAACAACCTGAATCTAAGCTACTGGTATCATACCAAAACTCAACTTTGGAAACCAGTGTTAGGAGCCAGTCAAATGTCATTAAGGTGCCAAGGTCTTAGCTGCTCTGACGTGACCCAATGGGATCTTTTAGCATTTATGGAAGACAGGATAAACTGTTACTAGGAACACCCTCCCTGAAAACTGTTTCTTTCAATCAAACTTTTGATAAACAGTGTCTGGCAGCTCCAGACTGAACCTCCTTGTAAATGTCTAAGCTACTCTGCACAAGTCTATTGTGCATAAGCCTCTGCAGACCATAAATCCTGAGAAAGGTTTAACATCTTGTAGAATGGAGGAACCAAACAAGACTCTGCCTGGCTAACAATACCTCATCTCCAGGCTGAGTGAACTGAAGAAGGACCTGCTGGTACCACAAAATGGGATATTACTGATGCTATGAAACTTAGGTAATAAATGCTTATCTTTTGCAACATTGTATGTTAAACATTTTTGAAACATTAAGTGCTGAAATTATGCCAGGGTAAGTAGTTTTCACATCATTGCACCTCTACCCAGGCACACATTACTTAGAAATATCTAAAGGAAGGACTTCAGGCCAAGATGGAGGTGTAGGTGGAAACACTGTGCCTCCTCACACAACCAAAATAAGGACAACAAAAAGTTAGAAACAAAAATAACAATCAGAATTGACAGAAAATTGCACTGTATGGAAGTCGGACAGCCCAGGAGCTGAAATAGACACGTTCATCCAGACCATCCAGACCAGTAGGCAGGGCAGTCAGGCAGCTGAGGAGAGAGGGGTCAAAGCACAAGAAGCGGTGACGCTGGGCGGGCAAGACAGCAGAGGGCAGACCCTGGGCACGGGGTGGCAATTGTGAAGCAAGGCACTGCATGCAAGGTGGCTGGCTGACCAGGCTGCAGCCCCACATTCGAGTACAGATACCTGGGGAGCAAGACTGACCATCCAACCCAGGGATCCAGCACCGGGAAATAAAGCCTCAAAGCCCCGATTGAAAACACCTGAGAAGGCTGAGGGGCAGGGAGAGATTCCCAGCCTCACTGGAGAGTTCACTGGAGAGACCCACAGGGTCCTAGAACACACACAACCCCACGCAAACAGGAATCAGCACTAGAAAGGCCCAGTTTGCTTGGGGGAGTGGCGGAAGGGACTGCGGTCCTATAGAGAGCCGAGCAAGCACCACTATTCCCTCTTGGACCCCGCTCCCATATACAGCGTCACAACCCAGTCACGGGGTTGCTCCACCTTGGTGAACACCTCAAACAGGTGTGACAAAAAAAAAAAAAAAAAAGGCCAAAACAAAAGAACAGATCAAAGCTCCAAAAATAATACAACTAAGCGACCAAGGGATAGCCAACCTATCAGATGTACAGTTCAAAGCACTGCTGATCAGGATACTGACAGAATTGGTTGAATTTGGTCATAAATTAGATGAAAAAATGAAGGCTACACTAAGCGAAATAAAGCAAAATGCACAGGGAACGGTGGAAAGGAAACTGGGACTAGAAGCAATGGAGTGGACCAGAAGGAAGAAAAAAAGAAACAAACAACCAAACAGAAAAGAATGAAGAAACAAGAATTCAAAAAAATGAGGAGAGGCTTAGGAACCTCCAGGACATCTTTAAATGTTCCAACATCCGAATCATAGGGGTACCAGAAGGGGAAGAGGAACAGCAACAAGTGGAAAAGTTATTGGAACAAATAATAAAGAACGTCCCCAATCTGGCAAAGGAAATAGACTTCCAGGAAGTCCAGGAAGGTCAGAGAGTCCCAAAGAAGTTGGACCCAAGAAGGAACACACACCAAGGCACATCATAATTACATCACCCAAGATTAAAATGAAGGAGAAAATCCTAGAAGCAGCAAGAGATAAGGGGACGGTCACCTACAAAGGCGTTCCCATCAGACTGTCAGCTGATTTCTCAAAGAGACCTTACAGGCAAGAAGGGGCTGGAATAAAGTATTCCAAGTCATGAAATCCAAAGACCTATATTGAAGATTGCTCTATCCAGCAAAGCTTTCATTTAGAATGGAAGGACAGATAAAGTGCTTCTCAGATAAGGTCAAGTTCAAGGAGTTCAGCATCACCAAGCCCTTGTTTTATGAAGTGTTAAAAGGACTTATCTAAGAAAAAGGAGAAAAAAACTTGTATAGTAAAATGACAGCAAACTCACAATTATTAACGACCAAACCTAAAACAAAAACAAAAACAAAAACAAAAACTAAGGAAACAACTAGAACAGGAACAGAACCACAGAAATGGAGATCACATGGAGGATTAGCAACAGGGGAGTGGGAGGAGGAGAAGGGGGGAAAAGGTACAGAGAATAAGTAGCATAGACAGTAGGTAGAAAACAGACAGGGGGAGGGCAAGAACAGTATGGGAAATGTAGAAGCTAAAGAACTTAAGACACATGGACATGAACTAAAGGTGAGGAATGTAGGTGGGAGAGGGTGTGCAGGGTGGAGGGGAATGAAGGGGAGGAAAAGGGACAAGTATAATAGCATAATCAATAAAGTATATTTTTTAAATATCTAAAAGGAGAAATGAATAATGAATGTAAAATATTTTCAGTCTATTGATTTTTAAGCATTAAAAAAGTAGTAAATCCTCTGGCTGGAATATTAAACTATTCGATATATCCAGAAGAAGAACCAAGCGGAAGAACTGTAGCTGCAGCCTGCTCCAACTACCCATCCAACTCCTTCTACAACGTACATATGTGTGCCAGGCTATGAAACTTGTCTGCACCCCTCTAAAGAAAAGCTATTAAACGCTCTGCAATGTAGCTTATTTCAGTTTTTGACAGCAAGTAAGTTTTTTCTTACTGTTAACATTAACATCTATTCCTAATGTCCCTATATGAAACAAGTCTGTTTTTGTCTTTCACATGACAATCTTTCGAATATTTAAAGGTAACTCTCAGGTTTCCCACAAGTCATCTCTTTCCTTCATTATTCCCTTGCTATCTGTTTTGCACCCAGCATGCTACTCAACTTGTTCTTTGAAAAACCACCTCTGAATAAAAAACAAGGGAAATTGACAAGTTGGTTAGTGTGTATTGAGACACAAAAGACTGTACAGATAGGTCAAAACATTTGAAAAGATATACACCAAACTTCTAACAGTGTTATAACTGCAAGAGTAGAATTACAGGACCTTTAACTTTCGATTTTTTGCAGGTCTACATTCCTAAAATATTCTTCTCGGTCTTCATTCTCATCATCCTTCATAGTAGTTCACATAACCTACTATGCCTTCTTTCTGGGACATTAAGCTCATCCACAGGTTCCAGTTCTCTGGCTAATCCCAGAGTTTCTCCATTCTTAGGAGGTGGGCATCCTCAAAGCCCATTTCCCTGACATCTCTGACTTCTGTATTTTCCACCTTGCTTTTCCCCACTGATGCCAGACCATGGCTTCAATAGTTATTTCTGTTCTGATGCTTCCAAGTTTAACTCAGACTTCCCTCCCATGCCCCAGCTCTGCATCTGCAAAGGTCCAAGAACATCTTCACTCGAACAGCACGTGGCAGCCCAGCTCACCACACCATACCCTTCCCATTCTCACTCTCTACCTTCTCTGACACTTCTGGCTTCCCCATTTCTGTAACACAAAGCACCATCTTCTTAGGCATCCCAGTTATCAAGCCTGTCAAACTTCCAAAATGTGTCTAAACCTACAGATTTCAACTGTTTCCACTACCCAGTGTTGACTCATCACTGCTTAACAAGATTATTAAAACAGCCTCCAACTGTTCACTCACTGCTGTCAAATTAATCATGTCAAAGCACAGCTTAGATTTTTGCCATTCCCCTGTTAAAAGCTTTCAATGAACTCAGACATTTATACACCAATGTCAACAGCAGCATTATTCACAAAAGCCAAAAGGCGAAACATCCAAATGTGCATTGATGGATGAATGGATAAACAAAAGGTGGTGTATACATACAATGGAATATTATTCAGTCTTAAAAAGGAAAGAAAATTCTGACACGTTCTAAAACATGGATGATCCTAAGAACATTATGCTAGGTGAGGTAAGTCAGAACAGAAGGGCAAATATTATGATTCCTCTAGTATGATCTTCCTAGAATAGTCAAATACACAGACACAAAGTGAAACAGTATTTATTAAGGCCTGAGAGTTACAGTTTGAGAAAATGAGAAAACTATGGAAATGGCTAATGGTGATGGTTTCACAATAATATGGCCTAATGCCACTGAAATGTACATTTAAAAATGGTTAGAATGGATCCCTGGCTGGTATAGCTCAGTGAATTGAGCGCGGGCCTGCGAACCACACGATCGCGGTTTGATTCCCCAGTCAGGGCACATGCCTGGGTTGCAGGCCAGTTCCCGGTAGGGGACTCATGAGAGGCAACCATACATTGATATTTCTCTCCTTCTCTCCTTCCCTTCCTCTCTGAAGATAAATAAATAAAATCTTTTTTTTTAATAAATAAAATCTAAAAAAAATGGTTAAAATGGTAAACTTTATGTTATGTATATTTTACCTCCCCCCCATACAATGACATATTTCTTCAAAGATTTATGACCCTGACACAGTACAATTTACTCATTCCTAGCACTGAAAACCCTCCAGAGTAAATAAAATACCACTCTAGCCTTGCAATTAATCCCATTTCTTAGTACCCTACAGGATATTAGTTTCACTATTACATTAAGTAATTGCTCATTCAAAAATTACATACAAAAGCACGGGGAAGCCTGGATTACATTACAAAAACTAGTTCTTTTCAAGGTTTTAGTAAGTTATTTTGCATTGTGAAAATCCACAAGAGCCCTGGAAGAAATAAACAAACTCAGAAAATATTCAATTAGATCAGTCTTATACATGTTGAAAAGAATTAATAACTTAATTGCATTATACTTACAGTAAAAAAAGAACTCCCACAAAAACGGGTACATATTCCTCGTACAAAACCTTCATGTGCCTGTATTGTACGGACACAGTTTCGTTTGGTCAGGTTCCAGATTCTAACCTATGATAGAGTACACCAGGAACTGTCAGTAAACTGTAAATATAAAATGTTCAGGCACAGGAATACTGCATTCCAAGAAAAATAAATTTGATACTGAAAAAGCTATGACTCATTCTACCAGACAGCTAAAGGCAAAATCTTCTGGATTAAAATAATGCGAACATTAAGGATAAGTATACCAACAAGCAGAACATTCAATCTGTTAAATACTCTATTGATTCTAGTTTAAAGTGTTTCAAAGCTTTCTTTCTTTGCCAGAGTGGGAAATAAGTGTTGAATCATTACTAACATCCTGCTACTAATAAAACTCACACTGAAAATCTTTATTATAAACATGTTTTATTATTTACTATCAAATTAGGCTTAAAGCTACTACATTTTTAATTTCTTGGGTTTAGAAAAGAAACAGAAGTTACTAATTGAGCCTTGAGAATGAAAAGAAAACAACATATAAAAATGAAATCAATTAAAACTCACAGAGACTCAAAACTAAAGCACATTTGTAATATAACTATTTTTAGTTGAAAACATCATTTAGAGTGACACTTGCCTCTCCATCACATGCCCCAGAAAGGACAGTAGCCAGGCTCTTTGGATGCTTTGCCAAGCAGTTGACTCCATCTCGGTGACCATCCAGGGAAGCAAGGAACGGCTTTGCAAATACCCGTTCCAGTTTGGTAGCATTTAAAGCTCTTACGTATTCTCGTGGAACCTCAAAAGGATGTAAGGTTGGATCATAGTTTCTTGGAACTGAAATAAAAGTGACTCCTCTTAATAAAAACGATTCACATTTAATATTTCCTGTGGTCTTCCTTAGCTAATACATTCAACTTGTTATTCAGTAAGCCACTGTTCTATGCCTAGCACTGAAGAATACAAAAGGAGACCTTCTGTCCAGAAACCTTCCCAAAACTGCCAAAAAACTCATGGAATGCATATATTTTACAAAAGACTTAGACCCTGTATATACAGAGCCTTTGCTTTTTAAGAAAAGATTTTATCTATTTATTTTTAGAGAGAGGGAAGAGAGGGAGAAGAAAGAGAGAAACATCAATGTGTAAGAGAACATCAATCAGTTAGTTGCCTCTCATCCGCCCCCACCTGGAACCTGGCCTGCAAGCCAGGCATGTGCCCTCGGTGGGAAGTGAACCTGCAACCCTCTGATTTACAGGAGGATACCCAACCCACTGAGCCACACCAGTCAGGGCAGCTTTTCCTTTTATGTGTCCTGCCATTCATTTCAACGGGTATAAGTGTTCACAGGCAGGGCTTCCATTACATTCTTCACTTATACTCCTATGCCTAGCACAGTGCCTGGCACAAACAAGTGCATGATAAACGTTTGCCCAACTGAATTCTAAGCAACTAGTGGGGCGAGGAACATTATTAATCTCCAGTGCTAATCACTGCATAACAAACACTGTTGTGATTATGATTATAGCTACGATTTATTGAGCACTTTCCATGTTTGTTTACTTACTTAAAAAAAGAGTTTACCATGTGCCAGGCACTCTTGCAAATACCTTATATATTTTAAAGTAATTTAAAATTTAATTTTAAGTATATTTTATTGATTATTATAGTTGTCCCATTTTTTTCTCCCCTTTATCCTCCTCCGCCCTGCACTACTCCACACCAGCATTGCCCCTCTTAGTTCATGTCTAGGGTCATACATGTAAGTTCTTTGGTTTTTCCCCCACTCTCCCCTCCTCCTCCCCATTGATAACCCTCCATGTGATCTCCATTTCTATGATTCTGTTCCTATTCTAGTTTCTTGTTTAGTTTGTGTTTTTGAGGTTCAGTTGCTGATAGTTGTGTTTGTTGTCTTTTTACTATTCATAGTTATGATCTTTTTCTTAGATAAATCCCTTAACATTTCATAGAATAAGGGCTTGGTGATGATGAACTCCTTTAACTTGACCTTATCTGGGAAGCACTTTATCTACCCTTCATTCTAAACGACAGCTTGGCAGGACAGAGTAATTTTGGATGTGGAAGCCCTGCCTGTGAAAGATGTGATTTTGAATACATCTTTCCAGACTTTTCAAGTCTGTAAGCTTTCTTTTGAGAAGTAGCTGACAGTCTTCTGGGAACTCCTTATGAGAGTTTCCTACAGGTAACTCTCTCCTTTTCTCTTGCTGCTTTTAAGATTCTCTTATCTTTAATCTTGGGTAATGTAATTATGATGTGTCTGTGTGTGTTCCTCCTTGGGTCCAATTTCTTTGGGACTTTCTGAACTTCCTGGACTTGAAAATCTATTTCCTTCACTAAAATGGGGAAGTTTACCTTCATTATTTGTTCAAATAAGTTTTCAATTTCTTGCTTTTCCTCTTCCTCTTCTCCTTCTGGCACCCCTATGATTTGGATGTTGGAACATTTAAAGTTGTCCTGGAGGTTCCTAAGCCTCTCCTCATTTTTTTTTGAATTCTTGTTTCTTCATTTTGTTCTGGTTGAATGTTTATTTCTTCCTTCCGGTCCAAACTGTTGATTTGAGTCCCAGTTGCCTTCCCTTGCCTGTTAGTTCCCTGTATATTTTGCTTTATTTGACTTTGCATAGCCTTCACTTCTTGCTCTATTTTGCATCTGCACTCAATCATTTCTGTGAGCATCATGATTACTGATGCTCTGAACTTTGAATCTGATTCACTTAGTTCTTTTTCTGGAGTTTTTATCTCTTCTTTCATTTGGGCCATATTTCTTTGTCTCAGCGCACCTGTTATGTTATAAGGGGTGAAGCCTTAGGTATTCACCAGAGGGGGGCACCCCACTTTGCTGTGTTATGGTGCTGTATGTGGGGAAGGAGTCAGAGAGGGAACAATGACACTTGCTTGCTCTCACCCTGCTTTCGGTCTTCCTCCACTACCTACAAGCAAATTGAGCCCTTCTGGCACTGATTCATGGGTGGGTGGGTTTGTGTATGTTCTAGGACCTGGTGGGTCTCTCCAATGAACTCTTTTGTGATTCTGGAAGTTTCTCCCACTGCTGCAACCCCCACAGCTTTTTACAACCAGAGGTTCTGAGGCTTTAGTTGCCCATGCTGGAACCCTGAGTTCCATGGTCTCTCTCACTCCCCAGTTGCTCCTCCTGGCTTATCCACACACGAATGTGGGACCTCCCAGTCTATAGCCACTGTCTCGTCCACCCAGTCCCACCCAGTCCACTAGCTTGTTGCACACCCACTCTACCCTGGCTGCCCATCTACAGCCCTCCTACCATTTGGGATGAATGTTCCTTCTTTAACTCCTTGGTTGTCAGATTTCCATACAGTTTGATTATCTGGCAGTTCTAGTGGTTTTTTGTTTTAAAATTTGTCGTTGTCCTACTTTTACTTGTACAAAGAAGCAAAGCATATCTACCTATGCTGGTAATCCAGATTTTATTTATTTGTTTTTAGAGAGACAGGAAGGTGGGGCAAAAGACAGGGAGAGAAACATCCGTCAGTTGCCTTTCACATGCCCCCAACGAGGGATCTGTCCCGGCAAACCCAGACATGTGCCCTGACCAGGAATCCAACCCCAGACCTTCTGGTTTGCAGGCCAGCGCTCAATCCACTGAGTCACACCAACCAGGGGGCCAATACCTTGTATTAACTCATTTAATCGCCTCTGCACCTTATGGGTTAGGTTCTACTATTACTTCCTAATCTATGGATGGGGCAACTGAGGCACAGAGCAGTAACTTGCCTATGAAGTGATGAAGTCAGGATTCAAACCAAGGCAATCTGGCTCTAGAATAAATGTTTTTAACTGTTATGCTACGCTGCCTAACATGTTGTCACGGTTAACATACCCTGAATATCTAAAAGTAAACCTATCTTCTCACCTCATGACTCCACCTTGCTGTCTCTTCTTTCTGACTCCCTGTCAAAGAATCTGGATAAAAAAGAGGTTCTACAGAAGCAACCTCACAGGATGATCCAATCACAAATTTCTAAACGGACAGGTGGTAGAAGGTAATTATAACCCCTGCATATAGTGTCTTTAGTAAAAGGTTCATCTTTGCCTTAAGCAAACTCTTTCCATTGTTTCTGTGCTTCTAGGTCAACACACCTTTGAATAAGCTTAACCACCCTCGAGAGAGCACAAAATCTTTTTCAAACATATAGAAGAAACTGCAAAAAATGTCATTCTCCCGAGCATTTGAAATCCTACTTCCCAGCAATTGTCAGTTTGGCTCAAATAAGTTCTTACAAAAATTCTCTACAAGTTCATAACATGCTGATATTGGCAGTGCTATATTCAACATTCAATCAAGCTTACCCATCAATCATCCTTATTCTCCAGTGCCAAAACTTAAAAGTCCTACTTATACTCTCTCAGAAATACTTCTTACTCATTTTCCCCTTTCTCTTCCTACCTCCAGTAACTTAGTTTTGGCCCATATTACTTTATACTTGAACTATTGTATTATCATCCCTACTTTATTTGATAGCAGTTTACACTATCACCTGATTAATCATTCTAAAAACACAGATTTTTGCATGTCACTCCCATGCTCAAAAACTTTTGAAGGCTTCCTACTAAACTCTTGGTAGTCTTCAAACTCTTTTCATTGTATACCTCTAGGAATGGAGTTTTTGAGCAGATCTCTGCTGCTCAACTATATACACACACACAGAACTTATTAAGAGCATGTGATTAAAGATGCTGTTTTTAAAAAATCTTAATCTAATGCTACTCAAAGGTTTTAATTACAATGTTTGGTTTTAACTGCTACTGCAGTTGCAAAAGATACAGGCAGAATTTGCTAATCCACAATACTGTGTTATTGAGAACACAGACATATCAGAAAAAAACTCCTACCTAGGATTCATAGCCACAGAAAAGTTCATCAAATTTTACAATGCTTAATTCATCATTATGTTCCACAAGTCTTCTAAGAACTCTGCCATATATTACCAAGGAACCTCTGCAGAAAAACAGATTTTTATGTCTGCCCCCCATCACTTTACAAATTATTATGAAGATTCTATTAAAGTAATAAAAAACTCCAATTAATGTAAACTGTAGAGCACGTTGCACTATTCTGAGAGTATAAGCAAGCTTCACATCTGAAAGCAGAAGCAAGCACACCATGTCAAGCCTCTAGTCTTTTCTCCAGATATTTTCAAGAAGCAGACGCATCATGTGACTATTTAACATACTGCTGAAATGACTGTGTTGATGCAAGTATTATCTAAATAGATTAATTTATTTTTTAACATAAGAAATGTAAATTGAAGTATTCTTTGTTTTTTTCTATTCCACAATGAATAGCCCAATATATCAGTTTTAGAGACCTCTGACCAATGGAATTAATTTCAAGCTCCTTTCTGGTCTTCCACAATATGGTCCCAACCTACTTCTCCAGCTTTATGTAATTTTTGAAACTCCAATTTTGGGCTCCAGCCAATCTGGTTTATTCACTGTCACCTAAAACTGCCTTGACCTTTCCCACTCTTGAATACTTGTAGAAGTCATTTCTTTCCACCGAGAATGTACTCCAACTCTCATCCTAACGTAAATAAACCCTACGTATGCTTTAAAAATACTCAGCTTAAATTTCATGTCTTCTACAAAGGGTTTCAAATCACTACCATCATTCCAACCTATAAATCCATACATTCTGTCAACAAGTATACATGGAACATCTGCTATGTTACAAGCACTGAGGATACCACAGCTGACAAAAACATGGCATATATTCACGTAAGTTTTTCTCATACATCTGTATATTAATCAATGTATCAGAATAGCCAACAGAATTTTAAAAATACAGATTCTCTGATGTCCTCCCCCCAGGTCAACGAATCAAAGTACTCAAATAAGCATTTGAATACTGCACAAAATTTGCAAGGAAACAACAGCTAAATACAAGTAAAAGAATAAGGGAAGACAGCAAATGTCTTCCTTATTTTATGCTTTCCAGAGCTCCAATACTTCTATTTTCCCATTTTGCTATTAACACTTCCACCAAGTATAAAGAAACAGAAAGTTGTTATAAAAAGTAAGACCCTTAACATTAAGGTCAGATAAGTCATCACCTTCTAACACTGAGATTCTATGACTAGTCGGTCATTCACTCATTCCTGCATTAACAGAATGCCTCAAATACACTCATATTGGCAAGGGTAAATTTAAGCTACTTGTGAGAAAAGTAATGACTAGCAAAACTAGAGAGGAAGATGGGACCAAGTTCAAGATGTCAAAACGATGTCAAATCCTAGTGACATAACCTAATGTATGTTAGAAACATTACCGTCTTGTTACTTAATCTGTAAACATTTTATGAGTAGATCTTTACTTCGTAGCAAATTCTCGCATACATGTTGATAACCGCCACTACTCAATTAAAATGACAAAATACTGTTCCAGCCTCATCTTCTATCACTCATCCCTTACTCAAACTCCGATAACACAGCCCCGGAGTTCATTTTTGCCTAAAGGCCTTTGAACTTGTTATTCCCTTCATTTAGAATAGTCTGTTCACACATATGGTCCGTCCCTTGTCATTTAGATACCATGAGCAATTACATGATTAATTCATAAGCAGTCAGCATGCTAATGAGGGAACAGGTCAATACGGGTAAGTAAAACTCATTAACTTCATTTTAACAATTTCCAATTCCAAGAGCTGTTGATAAAACTGATGGCTTTAGGTTTCACCTGTCTCTTCCTACATTCAGATGTACGTAATTTTATGAAGTGGCCAGAAGTTAGGGCAACGGAAAGGTTTAGGGAAGCCAGTTTGTTAAATTCTTCAACCCACGAATTTGGCTCATTCAAGTTGAACTTTTCAACAGGAACCTGAGAACAATTTGAGAAAGGGGCAGGGGAGCCTCAAGCATTCTCCATACTGCTAACTTTCCCACAAACCACTAGAGTAAGCTCTTTTTAGAAGGACTTCAGGAGAATTTATCTGCTACTCAGTCCCGTCTGGCCTGATCTGTAAAAAGTTTGCCTTGGAGAAACGGAGCAGTGAAAGAACGGGAAAAGAGCGCGTCTCCCCGCCCACTTGACTTGGTGCAAGCCCAGGCCAGACCCAAGGCTGGAGGGCTCTCTACTAACTTGTCTCACCTCTCTGTAAATCCAACTTGGTTTCGCGGACATAGTGGTCCGGGTTCCGACTTAGCATCTTCACCTTCATCTTGGGGTCGAGCTCTGGCCGACTCCACCAGCGCTCCCTCCGAGTTCCGGTTACTGCCCCCACCGTCCGCACGTGCTACTTCCGTTTGTTTCAGGCCACTTCCGGCCATGTGACTTACACAAACAGGAAACCTGGCGTCTCGGCTGGACCCGGCGGCGCTCCGTAGTTTGACGGCAGAGGGTTGACCGGGGGCGGTTCGGTACCCTCACGGCCTAGCCCTTCAGCCCCAGCCTGCGGCAACAGGGAGCAAGGCTGGGCGGGGACTCGCCAGAAGCGGGAGACCCACCTCCCTCGCGTTCTCCGCTGGCGTCACTTGCGGCTGCCCCTTGTCATGCCTGGTTTGCTGCAGAGTCTGCCAGCTTCGCGCTGTGGGTCCGTGCTCCGAGTCCGCGCGCGGGTCCCGGAAGTGCGCTAGCGTCCCGCTGTTCTGCTTCAGGGTGGCGATTGTCGCCACGGTGGTGGCCACTGCCTCTCGTCCCACCTCCTCGGCCCTAAGCGCCGAAGTATCTGCAGGCCCCGAGTCAATGACGGGCCAGGGCCAGTCGGCGCCCGGGTCCTCGGCGTGGAGCACGGTATTCCGCCACGTCCGGTACGAGAACCTCGTGGCGGGTGTGAGTGGTGGCGTCTTATCCAACTTCGCGCTGCACCCGCTGGACCTAGTGAAAATACGCTTTGCAGGTAAGAGCCCGCTCTGACCCTGGGCTCTTTCTGCTTGCTGTCACCCAGAACTGGGTGGTGAAGATGCTCAAGGAACCTTTAGTTTTTTCTTTGCTTTCTCCATACTGAGAGGCAAGCGTTGAAGATTGCTGTCCGGCCTCACCTGGAACTGGATTTGAGGAAGGGGCCCTGATAAAGGGATCTGGCCGTGGTCACCGGGGTTCCCCAAGAGTAAGAGATGGGGAGCATCAATAATAAAGTCCTCACTGGTGTAGAATGTGGGAATCAAAGCCTGATTTGTAAATAAAAGGGTTGTCACATTTTAGGCTTATCTCTCAGCACGTGCAAAACATTCCTGGTTGAAATCTTAGGATAGTCATGTGAGGGTCAGCGCCGCTCAGGAAGTGCTTAGTGTAAGGCATAATCTGCAGCAAATATGAGATAGAATTCTCTTGAAGGTTTGTTTTTTAGCGTTTATAGTGTGGTACAAGGTCCTGTGAAGGAATTGGTGGCTGGAATCTAAATAGTATTATTGCTGTTTATTTAGGTTTATTGGTTAAAGTGCCTTGAGTTAAGTAAATTAAGTATTTTGAAATCAACAAAGTAAGGTAAAGCTAAATTCTGGAAAAGGTGGTTTAAAAGAAGGTCTTTGATAACTTTACTCGCGAACTTTTCTGTCATTTCAGTTCTCTTATCATTAATACATTAAGTTCTGCCTGGAGAATTAGATCTGCAGAAATGGTTTATCTTAAAGAGTTTAATTCTATCCTATTCACTCGATACATTTGTAGACTGCTATAGGGGATACAGAACCACCTAGACAAAGTTCTTGGAGGAGAACTTACTGTCTAATTGTAGGTGTGAGACTTGGTGGTACGAAAGATCATTCTAGACAACATACAAGTGGGGACACAAACCGGAATTTATTTATAAAAACATTCTTACATGTTTAAACTTCAGTTACCTTCAAAGTACTCCATTTGATGCAATACACCTATCGAGATGTTTTTTTCACTGCTCAAAATAGTTTTTTTTAAATTTATTTATTTATCTTTAGAGGGGAAGGGAAGGAGAGAGGGAGAGAAATATCAATGTATGGTTGCCTGTCATGCGTCCCCTGCTAGGAACTGGCCAGCAACCCAAGCATGTGCCCTGACTGGGAATTGAACTGCGACAATCTGGTTCGCAGGCCAGCGCTCAATCCACTGAGCTGCACCAGCCAGAGCTTCAAAATAGTTTTTGAACTTGTGATTATGATGTCTTTTAGTGCTTCTGCCACTTTTTGTTTCACCTCTTCCACACCAACAAAACATTTCCCTTTGAGGACCTTTTTCATCCAGGGAAACAAAAAACATCGCTAGGGGCGAGGTAGGGTGAATAGGGAGTGTGGGGCACAAGAGGTCATGGAGTTTTGGGTCAAAAACTCAGCCTGGTGTGGGCAGGTGTGTTCATAAATAACCCACCATGAAATGATGGGTTATTTAATGAAGACTCTTTGCATTGAAAGAGTCTTCAAAAAAAATTCCCTGAAACTAAACCACAGCCCTTCACAACAAAGTAAACTGGTACACTGATCCAGATGGGTTCCTAGAACACTCACCTAGCGGGGGAAGCCTGTACTACAAGGGGGCTGCCCTCCAAAAGATAATTCTGGATTTTTTTTGTCCCTTCCCCTATAAAGCCAAGGGCAAAATGGAATAAATCTAAATTCAAAAATATGAGCAGAGGGAGACTATCAAGATTATAGGTTGCTGATAGCCCTACGTGTCTATATCTGTAAAGGTTCCATCAGGTCTTTGTTTTGGCAGTTGCAGGAGGTAAGCAGCCATGCTGTGAAGGAAAAATCAATGAAAATTATGGAGTAGTATCCATTGGAGAAAACCCACAAAGGCATATTATTTCCATGGAGTTTATGATGCATGCACAAATAATTTATGATGTAACATTCATTGAGCATTTACTAGGAGCAAGGCAGTAACCTATGCATTATCGTACTGACTACTCTGTACAACCCTATTTCTTTATTTTTCACACTATACAGATGAGGATAATAGAAGTTGACTAGTTTGCCCAAGTCACCAGTTTATAACAATAGAGCTGGGATTTGAACCCAGAAATATAATGTAGAACCCTCTGGCATTTAAGCACTCTACTGCATCTGGGAATCCGTGGTGTACAGTGGCTTAAACATGAAGAAAAGAATTTTGGATTTTGTTACAGGCACTTTCCTATATGACTTGGTGTTTCTCTTCGACAGTTTTTGCCTAGAAACAGCAGGGATGTCAGCTGAGATTGAGGAATAGTGTGGTTGCCCTAGTGAGTGTCAGAGTGTGAGATAAGCATACAATGCCTGTGGGAAGGGAATTCTTGGTACCTGAGGAGATTGGTAACCTTGATGAAATGGAGAGAGTTTTAAGAGACCAGTAGGGCCAAGGTAACAGATAAAGCAATAAAAATTGGGTGGGAGGACAGAATTAAAGATTTAGGAGTTGAAGCAGGGCTTTGTGATAACAAAGCCCACAGTGTGGCTGTGAAATGGTGATAGAAAAGAAGAAAGTTTGGCAAAATGGATAGCTGAAATCAGAATGGTTGGCCATATGCATTAATGCTGTAGTTTTTATGCTTTAATAAAATTAATTCCTACAATTGTCATATCTAGTGATTGGGGGTGTTAGTCTTCAATGTAACTTTAAATGAAACTTGGATTACTTCAGTGAGCCAAATGCAGATTGGAATTCAAAGGTGTCCAGAGTAGAAGAAAAATTAGAAATAATTTCATATGAGAAATTACTGAAGAAACTAGTTTAGCTTGGCGGGAGGGCGGGGGTATAGGGGATGGAACCAATGGTATTTAGAGAACCGACATGTAAGAAAAGGAGCTGCCTTATTGTATGTTGATCTAAAGGGCAGACAGAAGTTGGGTGGAAATTACAGGGAAGCAGATTTTGGCCTGGCAAAGTAGTAATGCCCGGAAATGAAACTGTGATGACTAGAAGTAGTTCAGTGGCAGGATGACAGAGAAGATATTCTTCTATTGGGTGGAAAGGTTGGATAAGGTGATCATGGAGACTTCTTCTAACTTGAAAATACACAGTCATCCCATGGTATCTGCAGGGGACGGGTTCCAGGATCCCGCTGTGGGTACCAGAATCCCCAGATGCTCAGATCCCTTATGTAAAATGATGTATTTGCATGTAACTTACACACAGCCTCCCATATACTTTAAATCATCTCTAGATTAGTGATAATATCTAATATCAATACAAGGGAAATGCTATGTAAATAGTTGTGCTGTATTATTTAAGGAATAAGGGCAAGGGGAAAAAAGTCTGTACACCTTCAGTATAGATGTAGCCATCATAGGCCTAATTACTTAGTACAATCAACAACATAACTTTTTTTTTCTTAAATATTTTTTATCGTTGTTTCTTAAATATTTTTTATCCTTATCCTCTGCACCCTTGTGGGCGCAAAGGGTAGAGTGAAGTTTTAAATAGTCAGGAATGATGAGAAAGTCTCAACAAAGAAGAATGTAAATGAGGTATAAAAATAATGATTTTCTAAAATAACCTGAAAATCGAATAATCCACAGATTAGCCAGGGAACCAAAATGCAGAGTCCAATAATAAGAATAGCATACAGTTGAGTTTTGGTATATACTATTGCAAGAGCCAGTAGCATAAATAAACCAAACACTTGTTGAATGATTGCTATGTGTCAGGGAGAATTTTAAGGGCTTTACATGTAATAAAAGTTTTGTAAGTTTTAGAGTTCAGTTTTATTATTTTTCTAATTTTATGGCTGAGAAAACTCAGTCACAGAATAATCAATAACTCAGGGTCAAATGGTAAGTGTTGGAATTGGCATTCAAACCTAGTAAGTCCGATTCTATAGCATATGCAGTTAGTTTGAAACCATAGTGGGTAGTTTGGTATAGCTAAATGGTAAAATGCTAAAGGTTGGAAAGGAAAGTGATTCCAGAAATTTAAGAAGCTGCTAGATTGACACAACTCTTATGCCATGTGAAAATGGAAGCCAGGTCTGGGCTTTAGGAATGAGATCGGGACTAGAGATGCAGAAACTAACACAGGGACAGCAGTTCAAACTACTTAGTAATTAAGAGACTATGCCTGTTGGGGGGAAAGGTTGCTGATAAAAATCAGCATTTGAGAGATGGGCAGACTAGGAGGCTGTGAAGGAAATGTAGTGGCCAAAGAGGAAACAAGGATGAAGAAATAAGAGGAAAACTGGGAGAGTGGGGGTGAAAGTAGCCTGAAGAAGAGTGTTTTCGGATGTAAACAATGACAGGAGCTACTGAAGTATTAGTAAGTTTATTTTTTTAGTAATATTGTTGGTCATTTGAATCGTTAATCTTGGATATCTATAACAAAAACAAAACTCGTGTTGAAACTTACTTAAGTGGCTTTTGGGTATTTAAGAGCTGCTAATCCAACGCGTCCTTCAGTATTACCTGAGTGCTCAGTATGCCCTCAATAAAAACTTCAATAAATTCACAAGTGTGTTTATTTTTAAACAACCCTGGAAAATAATTTCATCTACCTAAATGTTTTTCTCCTGAATGTGCTTCCTTCACATGATTGTACATCTATGTTTATATGTGATTCAGAGCTTGAATTTTGCTCTCACCTGATTCTGTGTATCTCTTACTGCAGTGAGTGATGGATTGGAACTGAGACCGAAATACAAAGGAATTCTGCATTGCTTGACTACCATTTGGAAACTTGATGGGCTACGGGGACTTTACCAAGGAGTAACCCCAAATGTGTGGGGTGCAGGCTTATCCTGGGGACTCTACTTTTTCTTGTGAGTAGATCTAGGAGATCTTCTGATGTTAAATAAAAGCAATTTTTGTTTTTAGTGATTTTTAACATATGAGTTAATGCATGGTGTGTCATTGACTCAGCTTCTCTGAATTGAAAGGGTCAGAAAGCACAAAATGGCTTATTTCCTTTTGTGAGGTATTATCAGAGTCATTTGGTCTGGAAGAAAGTTCTTAATAGGAAGAAGTCAAAGGGATGGACTGGAGAAGCACTCTTATGGAGCCATTTCCGTGAGATGAATTCAGGACAATGGCTTACCAAAATACGTTTGGTTTGTAATGAAGTTGCAAAAGCAGACGAGAACAGATCTTGGGTTCCTATGACGTCATGTACCCCAGGAAAATCCCTCCTGGAAACAAAACAGAAGCCAGTTTGTAGCTGAAAGAATTTGAGACATGGTCCTTCTTACCTCTTATTTGACCTGCTTCATCATCTTCTTAGTTCATTCATTTCCTTTATCCTTAACCTGTAAGATACCATCACCATTAGAAATAACTACTATTTCATGCTTACTGCAGAAGCTACAGAAAGCATGTATGGCCGGCGCATTCAACCTACTGAGAGGACAAGAGCATGGGGAGAAGGCCTCACTACACTGCAGTGGAGGAGCGTGTGCTGCTTTAAGTGAAAGGAAAATAAAATTCGGCTTTAGTATCGTGTAGGGGTTTTTTTTTCAGTTCTAAGTTACACTTAGAAGGGTAAAACCATATGTATAAAATTCATGCTATTAGTGAATTTCAGAGTTGTGTAGGTTTTCCAAAGACAGTTGGTAAGAACAAGCCATATAAGGTTCATGGGTTGAAAATTTTTTATAATAAAACAGTATATTTGTTTCATGTTAGAATGGTGTTGGCAATGCATGGGAAGATTTATTTACCTGAAATCTTCAAAGAAGAGAAAGTGGAGACTGGAGGTAGAAAAAATAGGCTGATTTGACGCCCCACTCAGAAATACATTAGTGGTTTTCTGTTTTCTGCCAATAAAGCCTAAATGCCAGTCTGCCACTCAAGTGTGGCTCCGTTTTTTCCTGGCTTCCCATTCATCCTTATTATAACTGCTGCTCATGCTTGTCTGTTTCCCTGTCATGATTGTACCTCCCTCTCCATCCTCAGCCAGTGCCACTTCCCACACAGAGCCTTCTGTGATCAGTCATAGTTCTCAGTATTTTATAATACTGTCTGTTATCTTTTGTTATGATTATTTGTTGGCTGCTTATGGTCCTTAGTCTGTTAAGAAGGATCTACAGAGGTTTCATCTTTTTATCTACTGTACTTGCCAACCATATACCGGAAGGCAGATGTTCAGCACATACTTGTTAAGTGCCTCCTCCCCCTTGGCTTGTCCTCCACTGCACCTCCCCCACTCCTGGTTTTCCCTGTTGTTTTTCTTAATTGTCAAGTGTGGGGTTAAAATATTGTGCATACGTATTGCTAGCCATATGTATTTGGGGGGAGGAAAGGTATGATCTTAACAGTGAACCCTGCCAGTGCATCCATTCTTGAAAAAGGTCTTATTTCATGGCTGCATTATGCATTGAATTTTACTTTTGAGGCATTATTGTTAAGTTACACACCAATTTAAAACAGACTTTACTGCTTAATAACACCGACTCAAATATTTATTAAATTGCTCATGTTTTACTCTCTTAGTTACAATGCCATCAAATCATATAAGACAGAAGGAAGAGCTGAACAGTTAGAGGCAACAGAGTACCTTGTCTCAGCTGCCCAAGCCGGTAAGACTGTGTGTGAAATTTAAAATGTCAAATTTTGACTTTTGTTTTCTATTTTATTTGCCTTTTTTCCTTTGAGCACCAGAGCTTACATATGCTTATCTAACTATACTAATCAGTGATCACATGAACTTTCTTTAAAGAGTAGGTATTCTTACTTGTGTCGTATAAAGAGTAGGTATTCTTACTGATTTCTCTGGATGTATTTCAAGAATTTTACTTTCCACAGGGTAATAAAATTCAGAAAAGTTATAAATCTCTAATAGTTTAAAGTGATTCAGTATAGTGGTTTTGCAATTAAAGTATAATCTTAGTTTTCAAATTATATGAGTACAATTTAGTAGCCTTGTTTAATTGCCTCATGTGTATAATATTCAGAAGGGGAAAACAAAGTAAGACCCGTAAGTCTTTAAACTTTCTGCTTTGAGCCATGACCAGTGTGGCTCAGTGGGATGGGCATTGCTCTGCAGAGCAGGAGGTCGCCAGTTCTGCAGGTCAGAGCACATGCCTGGGCTGCGGGTTCAGTCCTGGGTCAGGGCGTGTGCAAGAAGCAATCAATTGATGTTTCTCCCCTGAAAATAAAAATAAAAAATAAATAAAATAAAAGTTTTACTTGATATTTTATGTACTTTACTCTTTCAGTGTTGATTTTTAAGGCAAAAACTATGTTACTCACTTTTGAATACCTAGCTGCTAGTAGAGATCTGAATCACACAAGAACAAGAAATACTTGTTGAATAAAAGAAGACTACTTAGAAAACTCAGCAAGTGAGAAACTTATCCAGATACAGGTTTTTAGTTTTTGGTTTTTGTTTTTTTGTTTTTTTTGTATAAAATTCTCACTTCCTGTAAAGAATATAAAATAATACTTATTACATTGCATAGTTCTTTAATTTAGAATATAGTAGCTACTTTGAATGGACTTTTGAGCAATATTGTGGTAAAGTTGAGGTGAATATACATGCACACACCCACACATTACTGAGGTGCTAGATTCCTCGTCCTTTCCCCCCTAACCTTCCACCCCTCTGGGTTATAGTGTGTCTTGCTCCTAAGTGTCCGTTTTTTGTTTGTGTGTTTGTTTTAATTTTTTTAAGATTTTTAAATTTATCTTTAGAGGGGAAGGAGAGAGGGAGAGAAACATCAATGTATGGTTGCCTCTAGTGCAACCCCTGCTGGGAACTGGCCTGCAACCCAGGCATATGCCCTGACTGGGAATCAAACCACGATCGGTTTGCCATAAGTGAGAAAGTACCAGCATGCTGACTAATATTTAAATCTGCTTTCAGGAGCCATGACGCTGTGCATCACAAACCCATTCTGGGTGGCAAAGACCCGCCTTATGCTGCAGTATGATGGTGTTGTTAATGCCCCACAGCGGCAATACAAAGGGATGTTTCATACCCTTTGGAAAATATATAAGTGTGAAGGTGTGCGTGGATTGTATAAGGTAATGAATTATCAATACATTTTAAATCATCACTGACTGTTGTAATTTTCCTTGGCTCTACTGTCCAAGTTCTGAGTGACCTATATTCAGTCATAAAAAGAAGCCAAACTTAGGCAAGAAACAAACTAGTGAAAACTGGAATCTGGTTTACAGTGTTGGAACTATACTTTAACCTGTGTATCCCTGTGACCATGAGATGTATTATCATGACATGGTGGGGGTAAGAACTGTCTAAAACTTTGTGCATTTAACATTTGTTGAGTCACACATTGAGGTTACCCATTCCGTTCTCCCCTCCCTGGAAGCTGTAGTCATTTAGGAATTTGCTTACTTAGTTTAGCTTTTTGTTTGTTTGCTTGCTTGCTTGTTTGAATTTAGGGATTTGTTCCTGGGCTGTTTGGAACATCACATGGTGCCCTTCAGTTTATGGCATATGAATTGTTGAAGTTGAAATACAACCAGCATATCAACAGATCACCAGAAGCCCAGTTGGTAAGATGATTCTTGGAAAAAATATACAATATTATTTACTTTTATGGGGATGTAATAGATGGAAATGTTGCCATGTTTACTTTGGGAGTGTTGTTGTGATGATGAGTGATGAATATGGACTCTGCCAGTAATTTCATTTATAGTTAAATGTTTTATAAGCTAATGACACACAGATGTTAAAAAAAAGAACTCCTTAATTGCTCAGACCCTGTGTTAAGAGGGGAAATAGTATTTTTCACTTCCAGGTCCATTTAAATGTTTGTTTTCCGATATACTCTATATATACTTACATATTTTTTAAGAAACCCTGTCTAAAGCAAAGCATGTGTTTTGCATTGTCATTTTAGAGCACAGTAGAATACATATCTGTTGCAGCACTATCCAAAATATTTGCCGTAGCAGCAACATACCCATACCAAGTTGTGAGAGCTCGTCTTCAGGATCAGCATATGTCTTACGAGGGTGTGTTGGATGTAATCGCAAGGACATGGAGGTGAGAGCATATGGCATGTCACAATAGCTTTTAGGAGGTACCTTCAAGTCTCCAACTGTCTAGGTGACATTGGTTATGTAGCGAAGGCCAGTGCGCTGGGATGAAAGCGTGGCTGGTAGCCCCTGCTTTCCCATTTCCCCTTTCCACACAGAGAAGCACGGACTTTCCCTCCCTAAGGCTCGATTTATAAAATTAGAATGACTAGGCTGACAAGGTTTTAAAAATCAAATGAGATATGTGAGAGTGCCTTGACAAATTAATAAAACAAAATTTAGATGTTAAAAAAATATTTGAATAGCCTTGAATATAGGAAGTCATAAAAGACCTGGTTTAATCTAATTAAGAAGGCACCACACCTGCTGGGGGCCCATAACTTTCGCAAGTATAGCAAGTCCTGAAACAACATCATTTCATTATAATGTTAATGAGATGCCATAGGACCTTAACTCTTTGTTTGTATCAGTTATTAGCCTGTGGTAGAATTGGTTTTGTTGTATTTCATTTCACTTAAGTCAAAGAAACTATTGACTACATTAAATGAAAACTTACTGCAGTATTCACATTTGGGAAAAATGTATGTTCACTAGCATCCCTATATTTATCTCTAATTCTAAAGAGCCAGAGCAGAATATTTAGAATGTTTAAATTTAGTTCAGTTTAGTAAATATTTACCAGTTACCCCCCATGACAAGTTCCAAAGCTATCTTTCTGTTCTAGGCATTAAAGAAATAAAATTTTATTTTGGCAAGTGCTATACGTAGTATTTTCTCGCATTTGTATAATATGTAAGGCTTTTAATGCATATGTTAGATCAGTTAATAGTCTTGCATGTTTATACATTTAAAGGCATTTGAAAGATGGTTGTCATTAAAGCACTTTTTAGTTCCCTACCCAGGACATTGAAAACATGGAGGTTTGTTTTCACAGTGAGGTTTGACTGTTGGCTCCATGCCCTCTGTCAGTTAAACTTTTGTATCTTCAGCCTAGCTATATAGGAAATTAAACATCTATCTGTTTTTCTCTCTAAAGAAAAGAAGGCATCGGTGGATTTTACAAAGGAATTGCTCCTAATTTGATTAGAGTGACTCCAGCCTGCTGTATTACCTTCGTGGTATATGAAAATGTGTCACATTTTCTACTTAACCTTAGGGAAGAGAAAAAGTAAGCTAAAGAAGATAAGTTCAGCACAGCTGCCCAAGGCACCACATGCTCCCTTGTGTTTGAAACGTGAAACTCAGAAGAATGCTACATGGCAAGAGGGCTCATAATCTAAATCAGTCTGTGATCATTAGAAGTCAGAAAACCGCCAAGTCTTCACAATGTCTTGCTGTTTTTTGCCTTCCCCGTGTGAATGGGACTTGGCTACCTCTGCTTGAACTGACTGCCATCACCACAACAGTAAAACTGACACCGAGTGAAGAGTTTCACACATTTCTCTATTTCATTGTTCAAGTAGAAGCTAATTTGCAGCATTTGCTAAGTGGATTAGATAAAGTGCTTCTTTTTTCTGAACTCGTTTGTCTGGATTAGCTTTAAAATTTACCTCTGTGCAATAGCAAGAAAATGACTTCTTATAAGAATGCCATCGCTGTTTCATGGGTAAATTGAACTTTGAAGGATTTGCTGGAAAAGATGTTGCCCAGATCCCGACTATTTTAGAATTAGGAAATTTTGGTGAGACAAATTTAGTTTCAATTCGCTTGGAACACACTAGAGAAATTGAGAGGTTATGTACGCCTCTGAACTTAAGAAATATCTGACATCTGTTGCAATTCCACCACTGATTTAATTTCCAGAGGTTCTTCCGTAATTTAAAATGTAGTACTGGATCCCATTATTTTTTTGGCATGGATACCTAGTGCCTTTTAAATTTATAAAGTCTGAACTAGAATCCAGCAGTGTCAGCCCTTATTTAGCACATTTGTCTATAAATCGTATACTGGAATTGCAACTAGATCCCCTTACGCAGATACTGGGGTGACTGAATGTTGACAAACAGCATGGAGCTGAGAAACTTCAGCTTTGTACTTCAGCTTTCAAATACATGGGTCCAGATCTTAAATAAGTGACTGATTGACATTGGCTGTTCAAATTCAGGTTCTAGTACACATTTCATTAATGGCCATTATTAGTTTTACTTTTATGAGTCATTGTAAATATAAAGTTCTGCCCCAAAGGGATGCCAGAATAATGCTAATATTTTTATTTATTATAAAAATCTATCACTGCTATTGCACTACCATCTGTTTGTTGTAAATAAAATATTGTGGTTTTTCAAGGCCATATTTAAATGGTTCTTTGAAAATAGGCATATTTTTTATATTTTGAAAATGGCATTGTTTTAAAAATAAAGGTGAAATGATAAGTACCTAATTATATATACTATAGTTTCTTGTAACATGTGTAGGAATACTTTATGTATTACATGTGACATATTTTTTCATATTTCTGGATTGTACTATAATTCATATGAAATCCTGATTCTCAGTCAGTATATGGAAAGTCACTAATGTAGTTATCTCGAATTGTAGAATTAGTGTCATTATTTGAATGCCTATGTACCCCAAATTAATAAAGCATAATTTCTATCCTGTAAGAGCATACAAGCTTACAGAATAAACAAGTAAACGTTAAATAACTATAGTTCGTGAAGATTTCTACAAAGCTCTTACAGAGTTCTGAGAAAGAACTCATTTCACTTCTCCAACAAACAGTTGCCGAGTTCCCGCCCTGTGCCGGTGTGTTACCAACATCGAGGGGATAGCGGTGAAGAAGCCGGTCAAGCATTCCTGCCCTCAAGGAACTTTCATTTTAGTGTGAGTGACAGAAAAAGTACAAATATGAGCATAAAATAATTCCAGGCATTAAATACTATGAAAAAGCAGGCTTGTGAATAGTATTGCTATGCTGGGTAAATATTTGGGGTCAGGAAAGGTGTTTCTGAGGAGGTAATATTTGAAACATTTTGACATAAGTGAGGAAGGAAGCCACAATGAGATAGAGGAAACACTGAAGGAATAGGAAGTACAAAGGCCCTGAGGTAGGAATTAACTTGGCGAGAGGGGATGCCTGGCTAGAGGAGACTGGACGAGTGGCCGTTACCATATGGGGAGGAGAACGCAGGCTAGCAAGCCAGACTGGCTTCATATATCAGTTTTCCCATTTTCTGCTTGACCTTAAGCAAATCACCACCTGTTTGCCTCAAGTTTTCTCATCTGCAAAATGGTGTGTTAGATCAGTTGCTTGGTAGCAACTCCTGAGACGGGGGTCCTTGGGCATGTAACATTTATTGAGGATGTGCTCTTGGGAGAAATCTGTAATGGAGTAAAGAAAACAGGGTCCAGTAGGGGAAGAAGAGGTTTCCAGGGTCAGCCTCAGCCTGACTGTACAGTGTACTGTGCACATGGATGGGACCACATAGGTTGTGCTGCCCAGAGGTGTGGGAGGAGCTGTCAGCTGAGGGCACTCCTCTTAATAAGGGGGAGGTCTGAGCCATTAGCAGCCAGCACCTGCTGCTGCTGCTGGGTTGTGGGTGCACCAGCCCATAAAAGGAATCTGGATGGCTCATCAACAGAATTTGCTACAAATCAGTATATTAAAAGTATGTAGGCACAGGATTACTGGTAGGAGTCAATGCATAAATCCAAGTAAAGTGCTTAGCATAGTCTGAGCTGGTAAACATTAGCAGAGGTCAGGTCTTACAGAGGTTTAGATTGCCTAAGAGGCCATCCTGTGGTTGTGTGGAGAAAGGAGACAGGCAAGAAGCAGGATACTACTTTGGAAGCTAGTGGCAGTGTGGACCTGGTTGATGCTGGAAGCAGTTTATTGCCTGAGGGGAACTAGAACAGGGTTCACAGGTGGGAAACATTGAAGTATCTTGAAGGAAGACATTTCAAAGGAAACCTTGGAACGATGGGGAAAAGGCACAGGTGACATGTCGTGATCAGTGAGTTGACGATAATAATGAAATGCAAGACAAAGCTGAAGGATTGAGACTAGATAGAGTATGAGACCTTTCGGAGCTTTACTATTCCTGTTTGGGGTTTTTAATGGATAAAGAAGTGAGAGGAATTCATGGAACAGAGAGAGGTGGCTACATGTTCCGGGCGACAAAGGAAGACCAATCAGATAGGAGCAGCACACTTAGAAAGAAGGGGTTATCAGCCATGTAAATATTTTTGGGAGCCAAGGAAGGAGGGGAAGGGGGCAGGATGTCAAAGGGAAATGAGGACATGATTGTAGGGAGAATGTCTGAAGATACAAGATACAGGCAAAGCAAAAACAGTTGCTGGAGTTCAACGTGGGGGGACACACATGACCCGATGGTCCAAGACCATGATGGATGCCATGCCTTGTAAAGAGAAGGCTGTTAGGTTTCAGTGTGCGCTTTCCTGGTCTGGCAATTTTAGGAAGTCATGTTGTTTTTTTAAACACACTAAGAGGTATGTTAGAATTCATGAGGCATCAGAGAAAAAAAATTTTGGACACTTTACCAAATATAAAATCATCCAGATAAATTATGTATTACCACTTATATAACAAAGTCTTTTTAGTGATGATAAAATTATTATAGAAATAAAATACTGGGAAATGATTTATTTAACCTTCATGTATGTTTTCTTAAAATGTGTCAGGTAACAAAGAGAATGTATGTGAGATAAGCAGGGTTAAAGTCTTAAATTTTTTTCTGAGTAAATAGAAAATAGACTCTGGAAGTATTGTACCTATAATGAATACCCGCTGTTACCTGCCCAGCAGGTTATTTCTCCTCCGCCTAGTGATTTCTTCGCAGAATCTACCCTCTCCCTTCATTCTCACATTTGTGATTTAGATGGAATGGGCCTCCCCTGCCCCGGAGGAAGGCCCTGATCAGCAGAGCCAACCTGCATGTGCCATCTCTGCTCATAATGAATGGCTTGGAATTGACACAAACCATTCCAGCCAGACTGATCTCAAAGACATTGTTTTCTGAGTATACTGACATAGATTCTCTCTTTGCTGTTTTCTTGAATGAGGAGTCATGTAACTCAGAGCTCCTCAAATCCTATTTAGGATCATAAATCGGAGTAATGTGTCCAAAATGGAGTGGACACGAAGGAAATGAGTTAAAAGGAAGAAGTTGAAAGAAATTAGGTCCTACTTCAAGCTGGGGGAAGAAAAAAAAACTTTTTTTTCAGATAAGCTTAAGATTAACCACCTAGAAAAGGACTTCTGGGAAAAAAGGAAAAACTCAATTTTAAATCATATGATAGGAGATTCTGGATCAGTTCTCATCCCTAGCACATGGGTGGACCTCTGTAGTTTCAACTGGGTGGACCATTAATTTTCCTTTATTTTGTAAGCCAGTCTCAACTGGGTGTTTCTGTTACTTATTGCAACTGAAAGCTTCCTACGTGATGCAGAATCTAAGACCCTAAAGTCTGTCACTTCCCATCAACGGTCATGATGCTGGTGAACTCTTTGTGTCTCTGGAAATTGACGTTACCTTTATTAAAAGTGAGCACTTTGGGGCCCTTGTGTATGTTGTGTATGTTCTTTAAAATGTTTTTAGTTTTATAGAAAACAATTTCATTATTTAATATTTATAAAAATTAAAGAGTCAACTCACCATGAAAAGCATAAAAAAGATTGACCAGTACACTTAGAAAAATAACTAAAATCTGCTTATGGTAAAAGACCCAACTGTACAAAAGTTGGATGATTTGGCAGTGCTCCCTAGATATTTTCTGAAAGCAAATATTATAGGATTGTATGTTTATATTAGATTTCAATATACCAGTATGTTAATTATGACATTGGGCTTGTTCTAAAAGCTACAAAGTGATTAAACCAGTTCACACTCAACATGTCAAAAGAAAAAGCAACAAGGTGCTTTTCAGTGATTCGCATTACCTTCTTCCCCACCCAGGGTCTAAACTAATTCAGTAGACAAGTGGTAAGTGGAGCATGAAATAGTGATCTTTACTAGTGATAAGGCTGCAATCAGAGGACGAGGCTTACATCTGTATAAAAGTGGACTTTCTTATAGCAAGCACCAGAATCATACAGACATACCCATTTAGCCACAGACAACAACGAATCAACTATTTAACAGCCTGCCTCTTGTAAAACTTAGAGCCACAAGGAAGGAGGCAGAATGTGTGTTCTCTTATTCCTTAGGAGAGAAGAGAAAGTACTAGTCATGCTCACGTCCTTGTCCCAAACTAACAAGTAATCACAGCTCTAGCAATCTAGGTATAATCAGGAGATAAAACACAGTAAATTTAACCAGGAGAAGCTGAAATAATTTTTAAGTTAGGATACAGCAATACGACTACATTAAGAGAACTCTAAGTGGTACCCTAGGGCTGGGGAAGAATACCCAAGGAAGGACAAGCTTGGAGAGGGCCCCACTCTGGCACTCAGATGTCACTGGAGAAGGTGTTGCAGACCACTGGGTGGTGAGAAAGCGCTGGTTTGCTTGGCCAGAGCTGGTTTAGAATCATCTGCTAAGCAGGAAATGACCCTCCGGGGCACAAGCAAGGCAAGGCTGGTGAGCATGTTGCAGAGGAAGTTAGGACGTTCTGCAGGTGCAAAGGCAGGAACAGGCCTTTTCCACATTGGAAAAGGCTCAGGAGCAACCCTGTAGGGGGCTGGCAAGCTAAGGGGGTGGATGGGCATGCAAGTGAGTTTTAGCTCTGCTAAAAGCATGAGGCCAGGAGCAGGTGGTGGCCCTCTCAAGAAGCCTGCAGTGAGGTGATCACCAGGCCTCTCGGGGAGGGGCTGCGAGGTACCCGAGGGAACGTGCATGTTGGGTGTGCCAACACAGCAAAGAACCATCAGATGTCCACACACCGACACATACACACCAGTGACAGATCATGAAGCAAGAGCAAGAAAAAAATTCAGTGCACTGAAACCAGAAAGAGAAGCTTCTTTCCTCCTGCAATGTCCCTCCAGTGTCCTCTACTTAATGTGCTCAGTCTAAAGGAGAAATGCCCAGAGTCCAGTCCATTATACCAGAGCAGGTACTGAAGGATGAGTTTGGAACTGATATGAGGCTTCATCAACCCCTTTGACTACTCTGCTTCCATATGCACCTTTCTACAAGATTTGAATTTCAGTACAACAAGGCAACCATATTTTAGCCTATCCTCCTGTTAAGTGAGGTTCTTGCCCTTCTCCCAAATGAGAAGATACAAAGCCCCAACAGTCATTGAATCCACTGCCAGCTATGTTACCGCTCAAATTCAGTCAAGGTCCCAGTGCATACTCGATTAATGAAAGGCTACTTTGTAAAGTTGACATCCACCAACTTTAAAAATAAAGTACAAATGGGAAGGAGAGGAAGGAAGAAAGTGGTTAGCCTATATAAATAAACATATAAATAACAGAAAATACACAAAGCTATCACAGTCCTAAATTCTATAATTGGACACAGTTATAGTTGATAACTCTTAACTTCCACCTTCAACTACCCATTCCATATATTCCTTACCCACAGCCAGAACCCACAGCTCTGGGTTCTTTTCCTACCTGGTAAAGGGATCCAAACGTTTCTTCTCCAGGTATCTGAACCCTTAATCATCCTGACTTTTTTCTGGTCATGTAGTTTTCCATTAACTTTTGCTGTTGGCATGGAAGTTTTAGGAGAAACCTTATAAAATGTCCAGATTTAGAATCATTTGCTGGTTTAGGCAAACCAGCAAACTCCCTTCACACCACTCAATGCTCTGCAGCTGTGCCTTCTCTGACTAACATGTGGTTCTCTCACATGGCCCTCCTTGCTTCCACCATAGCAGCAACCAGTTCCCCTTGGTAATTGGGATCAATCAGTACAGCCAACTGATTACCCTTCTGTTTTTCACCTGTTGCTTCAGTGGTATAAGGAGAGCAAAATGGCCAGGAGGCAGTCTGTGGTAAGCAGAATTCTAAGACCAGCCCCCCGATGTACATACCCCTGCATAATTTTGCCTCGTGGATTGTTCAGACCTGTAAATATGATTGGATATCACCTCCATGATTGTGTTACATGTCAAAGGAATTGTGCAGGTGCAATTAAGGTTCCTAATCAGTGAACTAAAATCCAAATTGAGATTATGATGGGTGGGTTCAACCTACCTAATTAGGCAAGTCTTTAATGCAGAAGAGTTCATTCCCTGGCCAGTTTAGAAGAAAAACAGCCTCGTTGTGAAAGGAGGGTCTAAGTGGCAGGGACCGGAGAGCAGTCCTCTGCTAACAGCAAGAAAGCAGGGACTTTCCTCACCCAGCTGTAAGGAACTGACTGCTGCTAACAACCATGAGACCTGGGAAGAGGCTCTGGACCCTCACCTGAGATCACAGCCCCCATCAACACTTCGGTTTCAGCTGAAGTGGTGGCACTCTGAGCAGAGGATACTCCCAGGTGATGGGGTATGCGGTAAAACCAGTTAATTCCATGGGTGAGTCCCATCGTTGCCCATCTTTGCTGGGAGATGAAACTTCCTGAGCAGAAGCAGTGTGTGTGCAAAATGCCATGACAGTGGGTAAGACTTTCTGTGCATCCATGGATGGTAGTGCTGGCAGAGGAATTATAGGCAGAAAAGGCACATCTGCATCCAGAATATATGTCAATTTCTGTGAGGATGACTCTCTGCCCTTCCACAATAGAAGTCCAAGGTAAGCCAGGTAGGTGGCTGGCTTGTCCCCCCAGGAAACGGTGCTATATTTGGGACTCAAGTTGGTTCCTACTCAACAGTACCACTAGCATTCCACATTGTTGAGTCCACACACAGACTCCATCCTTGCCACCACGGCTTCTCTGTCCGTGGGTCCATGACCTAGCACTGGAGTGGCTGGGCAAAGAAGCCAGCTCCCATCCGGAGTATTGTTTTTCCATCTCGTTATTAAGAGTCTCCTCTGCAGTGAACGCTCTTTGGGAGGCATTCTCATGGAACATAAATATCTTCACAGCCTACAACTATTCAAAAAAGGTCTTAACTAGTATTTTTGTTCCCGCCCCAAATGTCTTTAATCCCAGTCTCTATTTGTAAAAAAATGGACGCATCTTGGTCAACTTCCACCTGTCTTCAACATTTTTTTTATCTAGACTCCCTCTCACTCACTTGCCATATCCAGATTGTTTTGAAGCATGTGCCAGATATCAATATCACTTTATCTTAAATATTTCAGTATCTCTAAAAGATGAGCACTATTTAAAAGTAACCACAAAACCATTATCACACCTAAAATACATAATTATTCAATATCAAATATCTAATGTTCAAATGTCTTCAACTATCTTAAGCATCTAAATAAAGTTCAAACATTGAAATGGGTTGATATGATATGAAATCTCTTTTATTGCCTGTATTTCTTCCCTCTTTCTCTTTTCTTGCAATTTGTTGAAGATATCCAGCTGTCTTTTGAGTTTCCCAGTCTGGATTTGCTGATTATAACCCTGTCATGTCAATGAACATTTTCTTCTATCCTCTGTATTTCCTAAAATGTAATGGTTACATCTAAATCAGACCCAGGTTTGATTGTTTTTTGGCAAAACTACTTTTTGGGTACTATTATTTACTTTCATTAGGAAGCATACAGCTTCATTATTTTTTTGAAATGTTATCATTCATTGATGATTGTTACTAGATCCCTTAATTCATGGGGGTGCGTACATGCACATACGTGTGTGCACACATACACACACACTTCTATAAGGAAAAATTTCCCTTCATCAGTTTGGTTACCCAGAAATATAGTTCACAGAGAGAAAGCAGAGTAAGTGCTGTTTTTTTATGAATTAATACCAATTTTCAAAGTACCAATTTCATTTACTGGTGTCTTCTAAGTTGACCAATGAATTCTATGTTAATATCATCATGAACTCATGCACTTAAACATAGTTGGTGTGTTTCAAACCATTGCAGTTATTGTCTTTATTCATGCTTAAACTGTACCATCTTTGCCAGTGGGAACCAATTCAAGTTGCCTCACAAGGATCTTTTGAGTTGTCTTTGATAGTTGCCTTGTTTCCCAGTAATGCCAAGATGATCCGGTCCCATGTAGTACATTTCCTGCCCAGGGCAGAACTCCCCCATTAATTCACGGAGACTTAGTTCCTTTGAGTAGGAAATGGTACGCAGAAATCACAATCTGAGCATTACTTAATTGGTCAATGTTTCTAGGCTTTTTCAGTAACAAAACTAGAGTTTGTTGTTATTGTTTTATAACTTTGTGTGTGATAAAGTACTTTATGAATTTATATTGATACTTCCAACTCAAGCACAGGATTTGCTTAACTTTATCAGTCTCATACCTGAACTTCCTTCTTCATGAATTCTTTCTGAGCAGCACCTCAATCCAAAATGATAGCACATCCTTTGAATTGTACTGCTCCTTTCAACAACTTTCATGGCAATCAACATATAATCTTTGATTTGTTGCTATTTTTTTATATATATCTTATCCTCCCTACCAAATGGTAAGCAATTTGAGGCCAGAATTTACACCTTTTTCCTCTTTCTTAAATAAAGATAAAATCCCTAAGGTGTTAGTGTATTTCCTGACACATAAATTCCTTTTTCTGTGTATCCCTCAAAATAGGAAACGGTGCTCTACATATATTTTAAATTTAATATATCATTTTAATATAAATAAATACAAAATTAGGTTTATACTCAATTGTTCAGATATAAAATACTAAACACTCTAATTTTAGTAAGAATGAGCTTAAAGATATTGAGGTTGTTTGAAATAAGTTTTATTTCACAGATATAAAACAGTTTTGAACATTTACAACTTGTACAAAGACTAGTAGAATTTATTCTTTAAAAAGTGCTATATGAAGAGAGTAGGAAAAAATTAAAGACTACCACGACATTCTAAATTATAGATTCAGGGAATGGGAACAGGAAGAAAGCATTCTATTCCACTACGAAATCCTGAAACCACCTTTGATCAAAGGGAAATGAACAATACTGGACTTAAAAACTGTGCGAAATCACACTTGGGTCTGTAAACACTTTGTTTTTCATTCTGATATGTACCTAAAAATTATATAAAATGTCACTAAAATGAACCATTCAAAGGTATAATCGAGAAGAGGTAGGGAGTAAACATTAAAGAATTCATTTTGGCAGTTCTTCAATGATGATGCGAGACACGGAATTCCATCCCGTGGAGGCGTCTCCTTTGGGGTAATCTGAACAGGTGCCCACCCAGATGGCGATGTCCACCAGCCCGGCCCCGACTCCTTCACACAGTCCTTCCACTGCGAGACAAAGGTGAAGGGCACATCGTTCTTTAGCGAACATCAACCTTTAGTTAAAGTTGGTTACTTTAGCAAGCCAGATAATAAATCTATTTAATGTATGGTGAATTACGAATTCTAAATCTTGATAAGTGTTTCTCTTAGCACATAAATAGTTTTAAAAGACAAATACATATCCTTTCTATGACATAAGTTTAACAGGCACTTTTTTTTACAGGTCCTAGCCATAAAACCAGAATTTGTTTAGTTAAAAATATGACCTTAAAAAAGCAATTTATTTGACTAAACAAAGGAAGCCCATATTTTTAAAAGCCAAGACTTTGATTTGATATTATAAGACAGTTCCCCCCCCCCCTACTTTTTGGTATCTTCTAAGCTTTCTTTAATGAACCTTAAAATAGAATAAAATAAGAAAATAAATTTTTTTCTTACAGCTTAAATGACCACTGGTTTAATTGAATGTCTTTTCTCTCGTACTAGGCAGAAAAAAACCCAGAATGCAGGAACAGTATAGAGATGTTCCCTTTTATAAATTCAGCAGGCTGTACCTACTCTTTTAGAAGACAAGGCAGAGAAGTCAGTCTCCTCATCAATCTAAGCTAGAGGTGCTCAAGTTTGGCTAGACGTGATGGTAACCAGGAAAGAGTTTGGAAGCCCCACTGCTGAGGCTACGCCCAGACCAATGAAGCCAGATTCCCTGGAGGGGTGGGCAGGCAGGCACCGGGAGGGTCTGCAGTTCCCCAGCCCAATGTGCAACAGAGGCTGAAAACCACTGCTGTGTGGTGTTCCTGGCGCAGTTTTGCCATTTCATCTAACTCAGTGACTTTCAACCATGGGGAACTTTAAAAAATATATACAGTGTTACCCCTGAGATCCTGATTCAGTTAGTCAGAGATAGGACCCAGGCATCTGCATATTTTTTAAAAGATCCATTTCAAGAAATTCTTAAATGCAACCAGGGTGTGAGCATCATGGGCTAAAAAATTGCTCTCGTAGTGACCCGACATGACAGTGGACTCAAAACTAATCTTTGGTCTCTCAAGATCTGAGACTCATTCCACAAGATCTCACTGTTCTACTTACCAGAAGAAGTGCGATGGATGTTAATTGTTGAATTCAGTTCAGGGCTTCCTTGGTCCAGGTAAATTATGGCTTCAATGGGAAGAGGCCCTGAACATTCAGCTCCGTTGAACGTGAAATACCAGCGCTGACAGCACGCGCTCCTGCACTTCAACCGCAAGGAGCCGCTGAACAGAACGCGCAGGGCACTGTTCGAGCGCATCTTCGTGAAGGTGCACTCCTGCCGGAGACACGGAGACGCGGCTGGGTGGGTGTTTTCTCTTTTCATTAAAGAGATGCTTCCACACTGTCTTGTGAATTCCAACTTTCCTTTACCCCCACCCACACTTAAAAGGCTTCACTTTTACAGAGGGAAAGGGATTTTCTGCTCGATAGATAAGTGACTCTGGTATTAGGAACTCTAAAAAAAATCAAATCATGGCATTCTTAGAATTATTCACCCCACTGAAGGTATTTTTCAGTTTTACAAACAGAGATGGTCTTCAGTATTTGGAACAAATCCGCTTATATGTTTACTTTTTTTCCTGTTCCTAAAATGTGTCCTGAGCCCCATGTGCTGGGTGCTACAGATGCAGCAGTAAACAAAACAGATTCTCTGCTTCCGTGGAATTCACATTCTAGACTAGGACGGCCTGTGTGCATTTGGTCTTGACCCATTCCAATCGAATCAGCAGCACACAGTACCAGGGGTTCAAGCAGGGGTGGGGTTCTTAGTCTTTACCCAGGTGACATGATTATGAGGCCCAGGTCCTCTTTTCTTTTCTCTTCTTCTTTCTCTAACTGCCAGTTGGGTCATGGCCCTATTATCTTTTACTTGCAGCTGGCTCCAGACCCACTGTGACCTCTGCTAAAAGGACCTTGAAAATACGTGAATAACTCAGAGCCCATAGGGATAGCTTTTAGCTAGAACTCAGCAACTTTGGATGAACCATTAAGTAAGCAACAAGTCTATCTGTGTCAGACATTTAAAGACATAGGCAACATTTCCACAAAATGCTTTCTAAGAAATCACAAATGAAACTGAAAGTGGTCACAGGCACAAAAAAAATATGGAAGAATCTTTGTGGAAATTCTGTCACATAAAAATCAAACCAAGACAGTTGCAAATTTTTTTATAGATAACAGAGCAGACAAAAAAAGAGCAGAGATAAAAATGGGGGTAAAACATATAAGATTAAAACCATAGAGTTTTATGAAAATAAAATATCTCATATTTGCCTGGCAATGGTAGTGGTTAATGTCAGAAGCAATACACTGTGGATATGGAACCATGTATAGAGTTGGTCAGTGAAGGAAGAAAGGCTTAGGAACTGTACCAGCTTCAACTCCATGATGTCCCAGTAGACTTGTCGATCACCTTTGAAGCAACCACTGATCAAAGCAACTGAGTAAGTTGTCAATAATGCACTGCCAGCCAGGCTATTTTGAGTAACTCGCCCCCTAAAGTTTGCAGAATAATGTCAGATGGTCCCTGTAGTGCATTGTTGGTGATTCCACTTCTCTTAGGCAGAGCGGTTTTGTGCTAGGCCAGCTTTCCAGGAAAAGGACAAATGCCAGCAGACTTGCCGCCCCCAGATGGTTCCTATCAGGCGATGATGTCTTTGAAGTGTCTTCCCACCTTTATGTCTGGAGCCACAGCAGAGTTTTTTAGGCTAATTTAAATTTACTTTAGGGTAAGATTGTTCACTGTCCAACCTTGTGGATTCATATGCTCTCCCTTTTCATTTGCATTAAAAAAGTAAGTATATGAGGTATTAGGATTAAAATAATACGGTGATTTATTGGTCTTAGAAATATCTTTATAAATTTAACTGGAATGCTATCAATTTTTTTTCTCTTTAACTTTAAGTTAAAGTCACGTTACCTGCTCCTTAAATTTTTAAAAGTCTTTTGGTAAAAATAAAATACAAATAAAATCTCACCTAAAATTAACACTCAACTATGAAAACCCTCAAGTTTTGCTTCAACTCAGAATAAATCAGATTTCACTTACCGCAATTTTCCCAAGATCGATGCCATAATTCAGTGAGTTCCAGGAGCACTGCTTGTAGTTAGGTGTCCAGGACTCCTCGAAGGTTTCCCTCAGGCATTCCCCCTTTTCTCCTTTGAATCCGTCCCGACCTGGGATCCCAGGGGTGCCAGGAATGCCGTTGGCCCCAGGGCTCCCATCTCGACCAGGCACCCCTGCAGGCCCTTGTAAGCACATCCCATTATACTGCAGTGGGAAGAGGGAAGGGAGAGAAACTCTCACCATTGAACATTCAGAGACTCTGGTCTGATTATAACTGCATTCATTTTGAGCCCTTGGAGGCAAGAATCCTTTCAAACCACTTGCTCATGTTCTAGATGGGTTATTACAGAGAACTGATTTTAAAATTATTGCTAAGATACTCAGATTTCTTTCCTATTCATTTAATTGCAGACTTTGCACTTTTTATGTGGAGGACACATCCCTAGGATACGCTGCTGACCAGCCAACACCACTGCTTCTCCCTGCGAAGCAGTCAACGACCTTATTGTAGGTGACGACTCGTCTTCAATAGGGTGGCAGTGACCTAGCAAATATCTTGAGTGTTAGGAGTGTCTGTTTTTTTTTTCTGGGTTGGGGAGGGGCAGCAACAATATCATGTAGAAGTGAAAAGCACAGACTCTGGAGCCAGGTTCTCTGGATTTCAATGCCGACTCCACCACCATCAGCCGTGTGAGACGGAGCAGGCTGCTCCGCATGCCAGTGCCTCCTTCTTATCAGCACAAAGGGGAAAACACTGCCTGTGCCAGCCGTGAGCACTCCTATCATTCCCCAAGAGCATGAACCCTGGGCAAGTGACCCCGGGCCAGTATGTCCACTCCCTTGGGTGGTCCTTCCAGGGAGAAGAGAGTATTCCCAGACCCTCCAGTTAATACACTAAAGCCACACACATCACTGTAGTTAGGTCAGTGAAAAAGGTGATATTTTGATTCCCATCTGTCTAATTCCTTGTTTGATCCACTTATTAGAGTCTTCAAATCCCAGACCTAATCCACTTAAATTTTTGTTTTTAACATTCTTCTATTTGTGTAGATGTTCACAATCTACTATTCTATATAAGTATAATATCATTCTATATAAGTTTACTGTCCAATCAGAATAAAAACAAGGTTCCTTATGTCAAAATAACTTCAAAGCTTATCTTTTAAGTTCACCGTCTGGGAATAGACATGGTCATGTTATAAAACCTAATAATGACGCCGCTTAGGGAGGACCCAATGTCTCTAATGTTTGCCGATCAATTTGCTTTTTACAACGCCACTTGATCTTTGTTTTGAGAAATGCTTTTTGTGACTTTGACCAGTGCTATTTTCCTGATTGTAAGGGGGGAAAGGACAGTGCTATTTATTGTCTGACAGTAAGAAAAGCAACAAAACTGCCAAAGTATTAGAAGACCTGCTAAAGTATAAAGTATTCTAAAACAGTCTAGTTCATTTTAGACTTAATTTTTCATTTTAGTAATTTCCTTCACTCACACTAGCAGATCATACAATGTTTGGACATAGAGTTCAAGTGGAGAAGGAGAAACCGTAACACTGATGGCATTCTCAGATTTCTTCATTATTATTCCTGTCGGGACAAGATGCTACACAGAGTTGTATTTTCCTATGTATTTATCAGGAAGTCTCAGCTGGGGCCACTTTTCCCCCCAGAGGACACTGGCAATGTCTGGAGACATTTTTGGGTGTCACAACTTGGGAGGCAGAATGGCTCTTAGCATCCAGGGAGCGCAGGCTAGGGATGCTGCTAAACCTGCTACAATGCACAGGACAGTCCAGATGACAAAGAATTACCTTGCCCAAAATGTCTACAGTGCCATGGATGAGATTTTTTATTCACTTTTTAACCTAAAAGGCCCCATAATTTTACCAAATTCGGTTTCACAGCTATTCCATCTGCTTCTTTCACTTTAAAATGCTAACTCAGCATACGTTTTGGTACCTACTAGATAGGAGTAAAATATGTAACTGTGTAATGAACCCCTCTTTCTTTCACTGGCCACCAGGGGGCAGAAGTAGTTGGAAGCTTGAAAGAACTGCTTTGAAAGATCCGTACAAAGAAGTTGCTTTATAGAATCTGTTGAAACTTCTTTTAACGACTATGTGGACTTTTTTCCCCCAGCAAAACCAAATCCAAGCTCCAGGACGCACCTGAGTCTGGTTACAGTAAGCTCTGCCAAGTCAGGCTAGAGCTGTAGGAAACCACAGGTCCTATAAATCTTTGCAGGGAAAGAAAAAAAAAATGCTAGCTTTATGGGGAAAAGGGTTATTTTGTGTATCATAACTACAAATTCACAAAATGCAAGCTTGACATGAACCACATTCATTTGGTACAATTTTAAACAATTTAGACACTTAAAATAGAGCTGCAGCCCTGAATACATATTCTGCTTTGTGGAGTAAAATTACATAGCACATCACCAAAAAGAGCCGTGTGAAATGGCAGGAGTTTTTTTCCAGAGATTTTGAATCTGGTTCTTGAATCTGCCAGGGACCTTGGTTTATTAGCTCAATTTATAAGTGCAGCTTAACATATTCGAAAGTTTTTTTTTTAATAAAAAATGCCTGCAAACCATATTCATGTGCAATTAAGATAGGCTTAAGGATTGAAGACATCGCGTGCCAAGGAATATGGTAGTTGTGAAAGCATCACTCTTGCCCTTCCCTGGGCTTGTTGACTTTCAGATGGAAAGCGCTTTAAGTGAACAGAGTTTCCCATAGATCAGCCCCTCGGAAAGCACTCAGGCTCTTCATTTGCTCTCCTGGAATCTGTCTTCTTGCTCAGCTCAGGTCTGACACTTTCACCTGGTGACCACGGGCTGAAAACCCAAGGATCTGAAAGGAGTGACCAACTATCGGTCTAAACAGAACAATAAAATGGGTCCTCAGAGGGTTAGTGCTGGGGTCTCCATTTCCCCTTCTGGCCATAAACCCTCTGATCCACCCCTGACCCCAGCTGTGGTCATCCAAAAAAGTAAATTGCAGCCCACATTCCCTAGGAAGATGACCCGACATGACTCAGAGTCTTCAAGTTACAAAGCGTTTGGATGGAGGCGTTGTAAGGGTTGTTTTTCTCTCCTGCGGGCAGACGTGGCCATCAGTCTCAACAAAGGACACGTTGCATGTCCCTGGCCCAGCCCACCCAGGCGATCGGCCGGTCCAGGGTCTCTCCCTGGCAGCTCCCACCAAGTTCTAACCTACCCAAGCCACTCATTCTACTCTCATTGCAGCTCTAACCCTCTCCACCCTCACAGGGGAGCGAAAGGGTGGGGGGCCTCAGAGGCCAGGAATTACTGGGCAAATCCTGTACTTTGGGGCATCCCACCCGTCCTACACAGCACCTATGCTCCATGATACCTCCCTCATCCTGGTCCCAGGACACCATTACACTCACAGCCCAGGTCCTTCCTTACACGCAGACTCGGACAAAGCAGGACACCCAGGTGCATGCCCGTGAGACACACAACCCCCAGCTGTACAGACCCCCCAACACCTGGACTTGGGCTGGCCGGGTGCAGCCTGCGGCTCTGCCCCTTCCACTAGCGCAGCAGAGCGCCCGGCTCCCTGCACTCACCAGATCCACCACCTCCCTCTGCCGGAGCAGCGCCTTTTGCTTCACCTTGGAGGTCTCGGAGGCGCTCGACGGGGCCCACAGCTGCAGCAGCAGGAGCAGCAGGAGGCTCAGGAGCCGCTGTGCTGAGGTGCGGGCCAAGGCCTGGGGGCGCATGGCGCACGGGGACCACCAGAAGCGAGGAGCCGGAGCTGGAGGAACGGAGGTGATCAGAGTCTGGCCCCTCCGCGTTGCCCGGCCAGCGCAGGCTGCATCAATGCGCCTTTCACCCATGCGCCTCCCTCCCTCCTCCTCTCCCTCCCGCCCCTCTGGACACCCGGAGTTTCCATCCGGCAATAGGCCGGAGCCCCTACCCGGAGCTTGATGTAAGGTGGGCGGAGACCCGGGCCCGCCTCCTCCTGCGGCTGCTGCTCAGCCATCTGGGACCCTCTCGGGGCTGTGTAGACCGCGTGGAGAAGCCTCCTGCAAAGTCGGGGTGAGCTGGCTGTCCTCACGTAGCCACGAGTGGAGACTTCGAGGACAAGAGTGGAGACGGTAACGCCTAAATGAACATTGTAGAGGCTTGTGCCTTCACGAGTGTCCAGGGGCCGCCCTCAAGGTTGTCAAACCCTGGCACCTCCTACGAACTCTTTTTGGGGGGTGTCTTTTTGAGGGGGCAGGAAGAACCATAGGTATCACCAGGTTCTCCCAGTGGCCCACGGCCCAAATGACTAAGTAATGCGGTTCAGAGATAAGTGCTAACACTTGCTGCACTCCGGGAACAACGCAGTCTATTACACAGACTCTCTGTCCTCTGGGACCGTGGCGGGTGCCAGCGGGGTGGCATTCCCTCTCCTCTGCCAATCAACAGATGAGGAAACTGCTGCTCAGGGAGGTTAAGCAACACTCAGTAGTGGAATTTTACTTTGAGGAGTCACCCTTGATCTCTGATTGAGGTCTTTTTCTAACCCCTTCTCTCCCCCTTCCACCGTCCTTTGTGCATTCTGGAAGGAGGTATCCTCTGGAACCCAGCCCACCCACCAGTCGGGGCCAGGTGGGCTCCTTTATACACCACAGGCTGGCACCAGGCAGAGCAGAAAAGACTTGCCACGCTTGGAACAGCATGAAGGCAATGCTGCTGAGGTAAAATTCAACGCAGTAGGGTTCTCTTTGGAGACACAGCCAGTTTCTGCAAGTTATAGTGGACTCAACAGGTGGGTATTAAGGAGAAGGAACAATTGGCAGGGTAGCAGGTAGAACAGTTCTAGAAATGCTCACTCTTCGACCAGTTTCATTTCTGTTTATTAGAAGAGGCAAATAACCAGATGGGTTTTAAAGCCAAAGCTGGCTACATAATTTGCCCAGCCCAATGCAAAATGAAAACGCAGGGTCCTTTGTCAAGGAATTATTAAGAATGTCGCCCTGGCTGGTGTGACTCTGGATTGAGTGCTGGCCTGCAAACCAAAAGATCACCAGTCCAATTCCCAGTCAGGGCACATGCCTGGGTTGTGGGCCAGGTCCGCAGTTGTGCAAGAAGCAATGGATTGACATATCTCTTGTAGGTCAATATTTCTCTCCCTCTCATTCTCCCTTCCTTCCCCTCTCTAAAAATAAATTTTAAAAGCTCTAAAAAAAAAAAAAAGAATTTTAAGACTGTCAACAGAGCACTATTCCAGGTGTGGGACCCTTCTGACTGCAGCTGCACAGGTCGCTCACACATGAAACCAGCCCTGTGTAAAGCTAAGCAAGGTCCCAGCAGGTCCCTTCTACAGCCAAACCACTATGGTGGGAGCAGTGCACAGGCTGGAAAGGAGGGGAGGCATTGCCACAGAGTCTGACTTCTAGCCACGCATAACTCCTGCTACTGCTCCAATCACCCAGTGACTTCGGATGGGCCCTCTCTGTGCAAACTGAGATCCAGATTGCGGTTTTAGCAAAGAGCTGATCCTGTATTAACATTCATGCATTTTTAAACTATGCATTCACATAATTAATCAAATTACTATTCAAGGTAAGTAAATATTATTATATCTTATTGATATATATCTTATATATATTTCAAAGATAACCTATAACAATCTACATGTACTTATGAGGTGTGTCTGGAAAAAGTCCAGTCATTGTTAACATAACGAGAATGGTTTGTAAATCATCGTTGTAACCTGGCAGCCAAGGAGAGTGGACTGGAAATCACATGCGTGACCAACAACAACTTCACTGTACTAGTCAGTGGGGGTGGTAGACACCATTGAGTGAGCATGTGTACTGTGTGCCTGTCACATTCAAAATGACTGAGTGAGTAGAGCAATGAATCTGCATCAAATTTTGGTTTAAGTTTGAACATTCTTCCATGGAAACTGTTCAGATGATTCAGAAGGTTGTGTCTATGGGCAACTGGTGATTGGCAGCTTCATCACAACAATGCACCCATTCATGGATCACATCTTATGCAGAGTTGTTTGGCAAAACATCACATCACCCAGGTGACTCAGCTGCCCTTCAGCCCACATTTGGTGCCCTGCAACTTCTGGCTTTTCCCAAAACTAAAATCACCTTTGAAAGCGAGGAGATTTCAGACCGTCAATGAGATTCAGGAAAATATGACAGAGCAGCTGATGGCGACTGGGAGAACTGTGTGAGGTCCCAAGGTGCCTACTTTGAAGGAGACTGGAGCCTCATCGTCCTGTGTACAATGTCTCTTCAGTGTGCATGTCTATTTTCCACATTACACGGCTGGATACTTTCTGGACAGACCTCATATTTTTAGCATACAAAGAGGACTTGCATATATCCAGGCTCCCAGGTCCAAGAAATTATCACTAAAGCACTCCCACTGTGGGTTTGATTGATTTCACTGTCCCTGTTCTTACTTCTCTGCCTCTGTGGTTTGCAAAGCCACTTCTCCTTCCACCTCTGGAATGTACCATCTTAGTCTAGTTGGGTTGGCTTGGTCTAAAACTTACGCCCATTATGCTATTATAGATGTTAGTTCCAGTTAGAAATTACAGATTAGGTTAAATCCTGGGTGCTCTTTCCAGAGTGATCTTTTCAAAGATTTTTACATGTTCTGCATATTTTCTGTTCAAATATCCTACTTTTTATCTGTTGAACTGTTAATGCATTTTCTGTCATCGAACCCCTTTAAAATGTATATATCTTCAAAACATTTAGTCTTCCCATTTAGGGATATAATGTATCTCTATTTTTCAAAACCCTCTTTTGTGTATTTGCAATATTTTATAATTTTATTTATATAGTTCTTCTATATTTCTTATTCAGGCTATTATAGATTTTGCTGCTGCTGCACACGGAATCTACTCATATTGATTCCACTATTGATTGTATTTTTTTATTACTGTGTAATAAATTACCACAATTTTAGTGACTTCATACAAATTTATTACCTCCCAGTTTTGTGGGTCAGGAGTTAAGCACAGGTTAGTGTCATACAAAGCTGATGTCAGGTGTCAACCAGGGGAATCTTCACCTGGAAGCTTGACTAGAGAGAGATGCTCTTCCAAGTTTCCTGCAGTTGTACAACTGAGGTCCCTGCTTTCTTACTCTCTGTTTTCTGGGGACCATTCTCAGGTGCATGCGAATTGGCCTGTTCTGAAGGTCCTCTCAGTTACAATTAGAATCTCTGGCTTCAGGAAGGCTGCAGTCCCCTTTAAGGGCTCACCTGATTAAGTCAGGCCCACCCAGGATAATCTCCCCTTTGATTAATTCAAAGTCAACTGATTGAGGAACTTGCACCTGCAAACTCCCTTCTGCCAGGTAATGTAACACAGTTGGGGAAGTAGCATCATCATATTCACAGGGTCACTCATCCTCAAAGAGAGAAGACCACAGGCAGAAATCTTAGGGAGCTGTCTTAGAATACCGTCCGCCACACAGAGCTATGGGCTATGGCTGGAAGCTTCTCATTTTCATCACTGCCTGTTTATAACATAAAAAGTAATCTGTTTGGCAGGGCAAGAAGACCAAAATGGGCAATAAATACACATATTCTAACCACACTAGCGATAGGTGTCTGCCAATAGAGTTCTATTTATTTATTTATTTGTTTGTTTTTCAGGAAAGCAAATAGAGAAGGTTCTCAACTTTTAAATCTTTAAACATTCACTTATCTCTCAATCACCCTTGCCATGCCAAGTGTATCTTTTATGTATCAGTTGCTAATGAACTTCAAAGTATCCCATAATCACTGCCTGCCTGTTGAAAAGTCTGTGTTGCTATGTTTATGGTACTTATACTATTATCTGCCCATGTTTGTATTTGTTCTTATTATTTTCTAAAAAAGGGCAAAAAGAAGGGTAAAGGAAAGGTGATATAAATGACAGGAGCTCACAAACTTAGTATAGTTAAAATAAATATAGAAATACATGGACCGAAATTGCCAGTTTTTGAGAATCAGTGAGATTCATTGGAATTAAGGTAGAAGAACCTAAGTGTCTGTCTGTAATCAGAGTAACATAAACCAGGCTGGATATTTTGACCAAAGAAGACTGAATAGAAGAGGTCGGTTTCCAGATGCTGGAAGCCAGGGTGCTCAGGAAAACCAGGTGGTTACTCAGAGGAGGAGCTACCACCCCTAGGGCTGGGACCCAGAGGAGAAGAGGTGTCTCTGGGGGAGGTCCTAGAAGCTAGAGCTTGGAGCAAGTTCCATCCCCGTCTCAGGGGACACAGTTGGTTCGTGGACTTCTGGTCGGAGCACCAAGTATGCAGCATCCAGACCACCGAGGAGTCCCGGGGCAGCTGGTGCCTCTGAGGGATGCAGCGCAGCTGCTGGAAGTGAAAACTGTCATTACCTTTTCCTTGGTGACTTCCTGAGCACTTTTACCTGATACTTATAAAGTCCTCTCTCTAGACACATTAGCTGTTATTATTTTTATTATAAAAGGAGGGGCTTCCACATAAAATTAAAAGAAGCCATGATTCAGCAGATGACAACTAACCTACATGTACATCAGTATATCTATCATTCAGGGTCTGATTAGGAGACGGAAACCACTCTGAGAATTTGAAACAGAAGGAACTTAATGTAGGAAATTGCCTACAAAAGCCAGAAACTCAACAGAGGGCAGTGATGAAACCCAAAATTGCCCATAGCTGTAAACTGCCACCATCCTTAAAGCCAGAGAGGCATAAGGTGGCCAGTGAAAGCTGGAATCATGCTGGGCTTGTCCAAGGGAGGTGGGAGCCATGAAAGAGAGGAAGGCACTGCCAGAGA